CTCAGTAAAGTTGCAGGTTACAAAATCAATATACAAAAGTCAGTTGCATTTCTACATACTAAGAATAAACTACCAGAAAGAGAAATTAATAAAACAATCCCATTTACAATTGCATCAAAAAGAATACAATATCTAGGAATAAATTTAACTAAGGAGGTGAAAGATTGTACACTGAAAACTATACAACACTGATGAAAGAAATTTGAAGACAAAAATAAATGGAAAGATTCCCTGCTCATGGATTGGAAGAATTAATACTGTTAAAATGTCCAAAGTAGTTTCAATGCAATTGCTATCAAAATTCCAATGGCAATTTTCACAGAAATAGAACATACAATCCTAAAATTTGTATGGAACCACAAAAGACTCCAAATAGCAAAACCAATCTTGAGAAAGAAGATCAAAGTTAGAGGCATCACAATCCCTCATTCCAAACTATATTAAAAAGCTACAGTAATCAAAACAGTACGGTATTGGCATAAAACAGACACATAGATCAATGGAGAGCGCAAAAATAAACCCATCCATATGTGGTCAATTAATTTATGACAAAGGAGACAAGAATATACAAACAAGGAAAGGACAGTCTCTTCAACAAATGGTGATAGGAAAACTGGACAGCCACATGCAAAAGGATGAAACTTACACTATCTTACACCATATGCAAAAAGTAACTCAAAACGGATTAAAGACTTGAATGTAAGACCTGAAACCATAAAAGTCCTAGAAGAAAACACACGCAGTAAGCCCCTTGACATCAGTCCTAGCAATGATTTTTTGGATCTGACAGCAAAAACCAAGGCAACAAAAGCAAAAATAAACAAGTGTGACTACATCAAACTAAAAAGCTTCTACATGGTAAAGGAAATCATCAACAAAATGAAAAGGCAACCTACTGACTGGGAAAAAATATCTGCAAATCATATCTGATAAGGGGCTCCAAAATATATAAAGAACTCAACTCAACAGCAAAAAAAAAAAAACACTCTGATTTTAAAACAGGCAGAGGATCTGAATAAATATTTTTCCAAAGAAGACATACAGATGCCCAACAGGCACATGAAGAGTCTGAACCTCATTAATCATCAGGGAAATGCAAATGAAAATTACAACGACGTATCTCCCCACACCTGTTAGAATGGCTATTATCAAAATACAAGAGATACCAAGCGTTGGTGAGGATGTGCCTTGTGCACTGTTGGTGGGAATGTAAACCAGTACAGCCACTACGGGAAACAATATGGAGATTCCTCAAAAAATTAAAAATATAACTATCATATGACCCAGCAATTCTACTTCTGGGTATTTATCAGAAGAAAACAAAAACACTAATTTGAAAAGATACATGCACTCCTATGTTCATTGCAGCATTATTGACAATAGCCAAGATATGGAAGCAACCTAAGTGTCCATCAATGGATGAATGGATAAAGAAAATGTGGGGTGTATATATATACATATACATACACATAACCATACACACACACACACACACACTGGAATGCTATTCAGCCATAAAAAAAGAATGAAATCTTATCATTTGTAACATGAATGGACCTCAAGGGCATTATGCTAATTGAAATAAGACAGAGAAAGATAAATACCGTATGATCTCACTTATGTGTAGAATCTACAAAAACAAAACAAAACAAAAAAACCAAGCTCATAGATATAGAGCATAGATGGGTGATTGCTCAGGGTGGGGGCAGGGGGTGAGCCAAAGTGGGTGATGGTGGTCAAAAGGTACAAACTTCCAGTTATAAAATAAATAAATCATGAGGATGTAACGTACAGCATGGTAACTATAGTTAATAATACTGTATTTATTGCATATTTGAAAGTTGCTAAGAGTAGATTTTAAAAATCCTCATCACAAGAAAAAATACTTTGTAACTATGTGTGGTGACAACTGTTAAGTAGCCTTATTGTGGTGATCATTTTGCAATGTACACAAATATTGACTCACTGTGTTGTACACCTAAAACTAACATAATATGTCAATTATACCTCAACAAAGAAAAAGAATGCTGATGCCCTTCACTTTATTTTCTAATATCAAGACTTAAAACTACAAAATCTATAGGTAATATTTGTTTTTTACGCATATTACTCATGTGCCTGGCACATAAATGTTAGTTACTATTACTATTATTAACTCAAATAATTACATTAAGTGCTGTGATTTCTAAGAGCTACAATGTTACTATTTGAATTATCAAATGCCTTACTTCCCTCAAAATACTAAAAGATAAACATATACATGAGAAGTAACTAACTAGGAGAATATGAAAACAGTATACTTTAACATATAACAGAAGCCTCTCATTCAATGTACTATAGACTTGTAATCACTAGTGTTATGGACCAAACTGTGTCCCCTCAAAATTCCTATGTTGAAACCCTAACCCCGAATATGACTGTACCTGGAGACAGGACCTTAAAGAAGGTGATTAAAGTTAAACAAGGTCATAATTGTGGGGCCATAACCCAATAGACTGGTGACCTTATAAGAATGGGAAAAGACACCAGCGTGTGTGCACAGAGGACACAGCAACAGATGGCTGTCTGCAAGCCAAGAAGAAAAGTCCTATCAGAAACCAAACCTGCCGGTACCTTGACCTTAGACTTCTGGCCTCCAGAACTGTGAGATAATAAATTTCTGTTAAGCGACTCAGTCTGTGGTATTCTGTTATGGCAGCCCTAACTACAGTTGGTTAATTGAAAAAGTCAGTAAAAGCAGGAAAAATTAAAATGCTTTGTAAATACAGTAAACATCTTATTTTAACTTAAAAAATTGTATATTCATTTGTCAATCTTTTGATATAGAATTAAGACTTAAAAAGATTTCCAGTTTTGGTCTTCTGCAAAATGATGCAGGAACTTAAAGACTCTTACAAAACAGTCTGGGTACAGAAACCTAGACTGTGATAACTTTTCTCCAAACTTTTATAGTTTATCTCACCCATTCCCAATCCAAGATTCTTTTTTAGCAATTCACTTTATCCTATCTTTCTACAGCATTTGACTTAGTTTTCACAGAAATGACAACTTTATTCTCACATTCATATTTCACTGGTCTAACTAGTATTTAAGTTACATAATTACCACAACAAATATAACTGGCATAAACAGCTCATAGAACAAACACAACCAACTCATGGTAAACAGACAATGCAGCTAGTAGGTACAGAAGTGTACAGATATAGTAAAGATCAAGCAACTCACCAGCTGAAAGTATCTCACATATTACAGGCATTAGGCATTGTGTTTTAGAGCAGGAATAGCCAGGACTGGTTAATCAACTAAGTTTGAAATGGAGGTTAGTTGAGACGGTTTCTACTGTATATCCAAATAAATGGTAGTCATTCAAAATTGTCACTTTGGAAGGTTATCACTATGTTAAACAATTTGGAACCCCTCTTCTGGGATTTCTGAATCTGCTTATTGTTTTAAATGTTTAATGGTAATTATCATCCTTGGAACAGGATTTGATTTCCAAAACACAACAATTAAGTAACCTGTCTGGTATACGAAATGTGAGCAGCAAAGACCAGTAAATACAATTTGAAGAAAAGCAAGGTGGTGTTATAAAGCAAAATAACTGTTTAATATGAATATATTTCTTTAAATATTAATCTAAAAGTTTCAAGAACATGTTGAATAATTATGACATAAATGTAATGAATACAAGATGCCACCCAAAGGATATATGTCATTTGAATATAAACTTCTAGTATTTGTTTTAAAATTGACTACCAGATACTCTCATTTTAATTACATCACATATACCTTGCATATATATGTATGTGAGTATACAAATACATACACACACCAAGTAGACACCAATCAACTACTTATATATGTATACAGCTTAGCTTTCTGAAATACCCTGATAGTGGAGCCTAATTATTGAGGAAAGTTTATGTCACACTGAAAATTCTGAACCTTTTTCAGTAATAAAAATGAGTCACTAAAATTTCTGCATAAAGAAGTGACATAATGAATGTGGTGTTTTAGGAAGATTCGTTTAACAAGAAAGAACTAGAGGTGTGAAAAATGGAACAAGCGAGATAATTTAGGAGACTATCAGCATAAACCAGGTATATGGTAATAAAGATCTAAATTAGAGACAGAGAGCAAATGGAGACGAAAGCAAATACATAAAACAATATATAGAAAAGCACTCTACAAATATTAGGTTTCATTACTGTGAAAGAATCCATAAGCTATGAATTAGATGAAAAAAATCAAATGCAGAGCAGAGATGGGTATGAGAAAATCTTCAGGCAGTAACACCCTATTCTTTTCTACCTGCCCTACAGATCCAAAGCAAAGATGGGGCTCGCCCAAGTTTCTGGAGAATTTGGGAGAGCTCTGGTTGTCAATATAGATAAGCAGAGCCCAAGGAGCCTTCTGTAGATTTTATTAAGCTCCATTATGAGGCATTATTCATATCAATTCTGATCTGGACATGAAATAACAGATGTTTTGTTCTTTCTTCTCAAGCTTAAATTAATTATGCATACGTGTGTGTATGTGTGTGTGTGAGACAAGGAAAGAGAACAAGTCTTGGGCCCTAACAGATGGGGGAAAATTACTTTCTCCTTATATAAAGTGACATGTTCTCTTCAGCATAGTCTGCAATCAAGTAGATTCAGCTTTTGGATAAAATAGTAACTAGCAGATTGCTAATTAGAAAATAGTTGTTTAACTAAGAGTTCTCTGCTTTATAATTGAGTTAGTGACAAGGATGTCAAATAAATCCTGGGAAGTTAAAGTCAACTTTTATTTCTATTCTTCTCTTCAACTTCTATATCTTACTCCTACCCTCTAAATCCCACCAAATGCCAAAAACCTCTTCATATCTGCCTCTTCCTGAATTCAGAAATAATTATTAAAAAATCAAGGACTAACAGTCCCAAACTCCATTAGAGGAAAACTAGAAAAAATCTACTTCGGGTTCTTTCATAATTTATCCAAAAACTACTAGGATAATTTACCTCGAACTTCTTCACCTTTTCCATTGTTATCAAGCGCCTTGATGTGTGACTGGAAAGCTTCTGCTCACAGTTGCTAATGAGTTTCAGGCAAGGGTGCGAGGGAACCATCTCTTCAATGTATCTGAAGAAAGAACAGCTGACTGTTAAGAACACTCATGTGTACACCACACACAGGATGGTCATGGGGTTTATCCAGTGTGGTATGGGACATCCTCCCATTACATGCTGTACTATTTTAATTCACAAATGCTAACCCATATAACCCGTAAGTCATAAACAAGCCATATTTTTAAAAAGTGAAGTATTTTAATATTACTACATCCAGAAAAAGCAGTTTTAACTTTTTACCTGTAAGAGAGAGAGGATACAAGTATGTTTTGTTGTAGAGCACCAAGCATTTAAACCACAAAAATACAAGACAATGATTCCATCCTAAAGATCCCACGAGACCATGTAACATGGGCAGAAATACATTGTACAGCAACCCCTTGACATCGTCATCTGGAGATTTTTATAAATTCCCACAGTATAAAGTCCACTATAGAACACATTTTTCCCTATAAAATGAAGTGCCCCTGCAAAATTTTAATGGCATCTTGAGACCTCCATTAACTTTACAAATACAGAACAAAAGTTCAAATAATCTACTACTAAAATAAACACTACAGATGACATCAGTTCTCTGGTCACCTTAACCACGAAATAAAACCAATGCCATGATGATGGCAGTGGTGACTGCTGCTGTGTAGCACATGTCCTGTGTGAATGGAGATGATGACACCGAGAAAGCAGGACAGTCAGGCTAGTCATTCAGAACCTGACACCTGACAGGTTGCTGGCATCAATCTGGGCAGAAGAAAGAGGAGAAAGACGTGTGGAAAACGGCTATAGAGAGCAGAATTCGGCAGAAGAGCAGGGGAGGGGCTCACTAGGTATGGGTATGATTAAGAATACCGATTGCCAGTTTTTATTTTTCCTTTGAAAATCTTCTTACCTTTCTAGATAGCTTCTGCAAGCATTTATTATGTGGGAAATTGTAAAGCTCTGATCCAAAATGCAAAAGGTGCTGATTAGCACTTCATGTAAAAGACCACCATTATCGCAGCTTCCAGTTCTAATGCATCAACATTGTCCTCACCACACTCTTTTACTTACTTCTCTAGGTCTCTCTGACCTTCAACAAGCTCTCCCTCATTACCTCAACCACCTGCTCAAAACCTTCATCACCCACTTGCCAAGCAACATTCATAATGCACTTCACTTTATTATCAGTGGAAGGAATTCTCTTGAAGTCACTCTCTGCCTCCTTCCTTAGGGCTTTCCAACAAGCAATGACCATTTGAGATTTCACTCTACCTAATAATTCTCTAATGTTCACTATATAGTTGGAAATGTTGTACTTCTATTACATTAGTTGACATCAAATTTGGAGTCTTCATAGAAAGCATTTATGATATGAAGGAATACATTCTACACCATGGTTGACAGACTAAAATAAAAAGTGTTAACAGAGAGGAGACATAGCCTTTTCCTTAAACTTGCAAACAACAGGGTTTATAGATGTCTGAAACTGTTTGTCAAACTTAGTAATGTACCCTTTTGTAAAGGAAAAATAACCCTTTATTTCCTGGTGGAGCTACAAAGTGTTTTTATTAAAATGATACTTAAATATATACAAAAATAAAATAGATATAAATTTCTTATACTTATTTCCCTTATATAACTATAAAACCAAAAACAAATTTATAAATCAAATATAAAAGTACAAAACCAATATAATTTTAATTAATATTTATGACATGAATGATGCTAAACTGGTGAAATTAAGTCACCAGCATTCAGCTAACAGCAAAAAAACATATTTACAAGTTTTAGATTACCTTTTTGACTTGATCTGCAAGTTCAAGCATTGAAGGAACATCATTTTGGGTTATCATTATCATTAACAAACTTGTTTTTAACCACTACTCTATGATATTAATGAACCAATCAGTTTAATAGTATACTCCCACAATACCCTGCTAAAAAATAAAAAATAGCAGTTAACAAGATATTCTTTACTAATACATTTATTAATATATTTCATACGAATGAGCTGTTTGCAAAGTGCTGAGCAGAAGCTATCAATCTGTACTATGCCCGGACTGGTATGATAGTATAGCATCCTATCTCAATTCCCTGGCTTTATTACTACTCCCTACAATCTAAACATCTACGTAAAATCTCAATCGGCTAGAATAGGCAAATCCACAGAGATGGATTAAGTGGCACATAGGGACAGCAGCAGTAGTGATTGCTTAAGTATACAGGGTTTCTTTTTGCGGTGATAAAAAATGTTCTAGAATTAGATAGTGGTGAGAGTCACATAACTTTGTGGATATACTAAAAATCATGGAGTCGTACACTTTAAAAGGGTCACTTTCATGGTATACAAATTATATTTCAACTTTTTTAACAAAGCAAAAAAGAACTGTGTGTATAGGCCCCTAGCTCTTCCATGAATCAATTTTGACAGTTGCTTATTTTCCTGTGAATCTTCATGCCTCAAGCTAACTATTTCCAAATGTCACGAGAATTTCACCTCCCATCTGAGAAACAGATTTTGTGTTGATTGGAGCCCTTACTGAAAACAGTTTAAGGAATCACTTTTTCCTCTTTCCTAAATGAGAGATGAAAACCATGTTCTCCTGACTGCTCTGAGCCACCACAAAATTCATTTTATTACAAATAAAATTTATCCCCAAATTCTACTTCAAGGCACTTTATTAGTCTTCTTCACTTTGTCATTATTTTTATCATGAACGTTAGCAGATAGATTTCTATTAAAGGACATCTTTCACAAAGAAACACAGTTTCTAATCATTTCAGAGTCACCTGTGTGTAACAATATTTAGAAAACAACACGATATGGATAGTGGAACCTGGGCAACAGCTACACTCACTCAGTAGCTTAGCAACTCCTGTAACATCAGACACATGAGTTGAATTTATGCCTTGTCCAAATGAACACTACACAGATCTTCAGGGTCATCTGTAAGTACAGTAGTTGAAATTGTGAATAATAAACCCACAAACACCAACAGTCTACAGTAATTTTACACGCTAAGTTTCTATGAGTGATAAGAATAAACTGCTCTGAGAGTGCAGATGAAAGATGGATTAATTCCACTGGGAAGGGTTGGGAAAGTGTCAAAGAGGTGGTGACAATTAAGCCAGGTCTTGAAAGATGACTAGAATTTTACCAGCTGAAGAAAGAAGGAAGAGTATATCAAGCAATGGAAACAGAATAAACAAAGGTGAAAAGATACAACATGGACAGAGTATCCTGATGCTGGCAAAAAACCCACACGCTGGAGTGGGGAGAAGGCAGCTGAGAGGAAGAACAGCAGCAGGAGCGTGTTGAGCAGCAGTTTCTGCACTGCAATTTAAACTGCCAAACAGTGAGAAAATCCTTTTCAATCATCCACTCTGACCATTCTTCACAAATAACTAAGCTTTTAGATAGTATTTTGTTTTTATTATGTTTTATACTTTACAAAATGTCCTGGGTTTAGAAAATAATACCTGAACTTGATTATAATATGTAATCTTATTTTTAAACTTCAATCATATAACAGGATTTGGCTGAGTAAACTGATTCAATAGTAGGACTAAAAGCCTATATTCACTATATCAAAAACACAAATGTTTTAAAATTAACTTGTGCTAAGGTATACTTTTTAAGTGAATTCTTTATTCTGCTCGAATAAAAAAATTATATTTTCAATACAACAAAATCAAACTAATTCTAAATTGTTTAATTCAGAAGCTAGAACATTATTTCAAACTTTTGCAGGTGACTTTAGTCTTAAATTCATCATTAACATGTTATTTTAAAAACAGCAAAGATTTTGGATGATGTATGCAGCAAAAATGAAAAGAGTTCATTTCCTAACACAAACTTAAGACAAACTAAGTTCATTAATAAGTTAACAGTTAGTAATAAAAATTAATTCATTAATAAGATCACCTTAGGCTGAAGGGGAGGAGAAGACACAACAGAAGTCTAGTAATGAACATCAGAGGACCTGGAAATAACTCTCCAGGGACGACTAAGTCAAGGAAGTAAATGCCATAGTGGTCTTCCTGTCTATGTGCTAGCCATATACCTAGATGAAATCTGTCACTTGATAAAACATATAAGGTTAAAAAAGAAAGAAAGAAAGAAGTGATAAAAATACATCTCCCTTTTATACTTCTGAAATATCCTTTTGGTTACACGCATTTGGAAATTTCCCCTTGTTGAAAATTATTAAAATTGAGAAGCCACCAAAGAAATATCCATTTGTTAAGGTCTTCAAGAGTATTAAAAATAGTTAAAATTATCTCAAATTTAACTTTTTATAAAGAGAAATGAATAAATTTTAAAAAGATATATATATTTTTTTGGTGAGGAAGATTCGCCCTGAGGTAACATCTGTTGTCAATCTTCCTCAAATTTTTTTTTTTTTTTAAATGTGAGCCACCACCACAGCAGGGCCACTGACAGACAAGCAGTGTGGGTCAGCATCTGGGAACTGAACCTGAGCCACCGAAGCAGAGTGCGCCAAACTTAATCACTAGGCCACTGGGGCTGGCCCAACAAAAGATATTCTTAATTATGTTTAATTTCAATTATAATTAAATAATTAACTCAAAGTAGTGGTCAGAAATGCCAGAAAGTAAGAAGTACACAAAAACAAAGGGGGATATTTCCAAAGGACAGACGAGCCACCTCAAAGAGACTCCCACTGATCAAATCTGAGACAATTAAAGCAACAAAATAATGATACTAATAAATTATAACCCAATGAATAATATAGGAATCTATGACTCCACATCAACATAAATCAATAAATTAATGGGAGGAAGAGAGAAAACTCTTCCTTACAGTAGAATGCCAACTTACAAATGCAAAAGGAATGATGAAAGAGAAAAATCATCATTATGGTGGTTGTCCAGAATGGAGCTGTCAATCTGAGTAGTGGTTTGATGAAGAGCAAGATACTGGTATAATCTTGGGATATCTCCCCCATGAAATACTAACTAAAGGAGAAAATGATGACTCAAAGTGGAGAAACCTGACAGAGAACAACACGACCAGATTATCAAGTTGAAGATCTCTAGTAGGGGTTGACTTTGTGCACCCCAAGATGCAATGCATGAAGAACACAGTATCATTTTTGGGGTATTCCTACTAAGAGCACTACCTAAGTCTGGTCATAGAAGAAACATGAGATGGATCCTGGCTAAGGGTCAACCTTCAGAATATAAACCACATATTCTATAAAATGGTCAAGGACACAAAAGATGAGGAAATATTCCACACTGGAGGAGAATGACATGATGGGTCAATGCAGTCCATTTTCTTGGATGGACTGCAACTGGTGAAATTTGAATGGGGTACATGAACTAGACAGCAGTGTTATCAATGCTGATTTCCAAACTTCAGGGGTTGATGGTGATTTGACAAGCAGGTTCTTGTATCCGAGAAATACCATGAAGTATATAGGGGTGATGGGACATCATATCCAAAACTTCTCAAAGAGTTCCAAAAAAGATTAATGATAATGGGAATGTGATTAATATAATGGGTGAGGCAAGGGGAGGTGGAGTAGGTATATGTTAAACACATATTTGGAAAATCTGGATGAGGGGAGACATACAAGTTTTTTGTACTGTATTTGAAACTTTTCTGTAAGTCTGAAATTATTTCAAAATAAATTTTGAAAAACTTTAGCCCTAAAACTTGAATTAAAGCAAAAAGACAAGTATGCTTGTTGCTGGAATTCAGCTTCTCTAAGACAGGAAACACTTTTGCATAGAAATTAACAACTATGCTCTTCTCTGAAAATATTAATAAAATCCCATCTATCTCATCATATACCAGATACCTGAGATCTGGTAGGATGTTGAATTGAGTGAACAACGCACTGGGAATAAGGAAACCAATTAGCTAGCTAGCTTTTAACTTCAGACAAGTCACTTCACTCGTTGGAATTAATTTTCCTTATTCCTAAAATGAAGAGGTTAAATGGAATTAGGTTCATGCCATCCCTGGCAACAGAACCTAAGCCTAGTTTTAAGGGTCTGGGCATTAATGTGCACAGTCTTAACAGCTGATAACAAACATATGACTAAAGATAGACCATCGTAACTTCCAATACAACATTTACGAAACAACCAACAAAAAACAGCAAAGCTTCCAACTGCTGGGGGACCAACCAGCATCATGAAAAGACAGACAAGTTAAGGCTATTCTAAAACGCTTCTGTACAATTATGTATAGCAAATACAGGAATTAAAATAATTTTTTAAAATAGATTTCTATGGCAGATTGAAGAAACAGCCACATTTTGAGCCTGACACTATCTTTCAAATCTAAAGATCCTGTCTTGTTCAAGACATCTTGTCTGTCATTGTTGATGTACATCACTGTTTATAATTAATAATTAGTGAATAATAAACCCAAACCAATAATGTGGAACACAATGAGGGCTTTAAATATACATACAGCTCTTATTTTAGTCTTAGCTTTTAAAAAAGATTTACTGCATTTAAGGTGATCATAATAGCCAATATATATGAAAGCCAACTAGTAACAGATGAATTGTTCAGCTAAGTCGTTAAAAATTACCCACGTTTGTGGCCTGGCAAAACAGCTACTGAACAGCTATGACATATCAGGCACTGAGCTAAGTGTGGTACACAATAGAGGTTGGTAAACTTCCTCCTACGGGCCAGATAGTGAATATTTTAGCCTTTGTGGGCCACATATGTTGCTGTCACATATTCTTATTATTTTTTTTTTCTTTTTAACAACCCTTTAAAAATGTAAAGGCCAATCTTAACTCAAGTGCCTTACAAAAACAGGCTAAGGATCATATTTGGCCCACAGGCTATAGTTTGCCAATCCCTGATATAAAATAAAAAGGTCAGGGCGACTCAATCATTAAGAGAAAGGGGCCTGTTTTATAAACATATGTGAGTAAATAAAGGCTATCATACACATTAAATACAAAGACATTTACCCTGAATATAATTAGAGATAGGGAAAAAATTACACTAGATATATAAATACCATAAGAAAATGAAATTAAAAATAAAATTATTTAATATTACATACTCTGGTGTATACACAGGTAACCAATAGACTAGTCTTCCACCTAATACGAGGGTCTCAGCTGCAAAGTTTAACAGGTCAAAAAACATATCACTCAGATGATAACTCAAGGAAACAGGAACATGGCTTTCTGGACTAGACAAAGAAAAGAAAATTTCAAAATCAGTGAAAAACTTTAAGACTGTTCAACTAAGTTAATTAAGAAGAAGCAACATGCTTCTTCTCAGAGTAGTAATATATCACATTTAACTCTCACTTACCATTTTTCCATCCCCTTCGGTATTTCCTTCTGTGAACCTGTTCTTCTTGTAGATTCTCTGATTCCATATGGAGCTAGATAAAAAACATTGGGAACACGGATAATCAAAAGTCACCCATGACCAATGAGGGGCAGATGGGCATCACGTGCCTCCAGGTGTCACACCCTGAGAAGAACGCAACATCATCACTATGCAATATTCTAGCTGAGAATGCATAGCATAAAGAACATTCTATTTAAAACACTGAGAGGGCAGGCAGGTGACCGGGTTCTTCAAAAACGTCAACGTCATAAAAGACAAGGAAAGGCCATGAAAGTGTTACAAATTAAGAGAGGCCCAAAAGATACGATTACAAAACGCAATACCTGACACTAGACCGGATACTGCACCAGGGGGAAAAATATTGCTACAAAGAACATGACTTTATTAAAGAATTGATTAAAGCACTGTATCAATTTACTAAACTGATAACTGTACTTTGGCTATCTAAGATTCTATCCCTATTCTTAGGAAATATATACTGAAGTATAAGGGTAAGGAGCCACAATGTATATATACAACTTACCCTCAATTGACTAAGAAAACAAGTATGTATTTTTATAAATATACACACAGAGTGACACCAAATACTAAAGTAGATTGTTAATAAAAAGTCACCCTGCAGAAGATGAAACAACAACAACACCCCCCCCACACTCATAGATACAGAGAACAGACTGGTGGTTACCAGAGGGGAAGGGGGGTGGGGAGAGGGCGAAAGGGATAAAACGGGATGTTTGTACAGCGATGGATAGAAACTAGATTTTTGGTGGTGAACACAATGTAGTACACACAGAAGTCAAAATATAATGATGTACACCTGAAATGTATATAATGTTATAAACCAATGTTACCTAAATTAAAAATATATATACAGCTCAAAGGAAAAAAAGAGTCATCCAATTTTCAGGAATTACATTCACACTGACATTGTAATACCTTGAAAAGTTTTCTTTTCTTAGATTTGAAACCATCTAAGTTACCAAAGAACTGAAGAGCGCTGAGATGGAACAGTTGAGATACATTTTGCCACTATTTACAAATTTACTGCCAAACGCTATAGGAAAGGCAGATCTCTTCTTAGATAAAGAGGCCCGAAGAGCTCAAGAACTCAAGAGCAGGAGAAAACAAGTTCTCATGCACAGCCCTGAAGCTCAGTGGGTTCACAAGCCCAGTGGTTCGCAGAACCCCAAATTTCAAGTCGCTCTAGAAAGGAGACGCCAGTGAAAACACGCACTACAAAAAAAAAACACAAGAGTTGCCACGTGGGGAAATGTGTGATAGCTGAAACTCTCTTCTTCAAAATCTGACACCATAATGGCAAATAACATTTTGGCTCCAATTGGTATACCAGTAAACAATTACAGTCCAATATAAAACAAGCATAAAAAACAAACATATGCCTCAAAAAATAAGCTAAAGAGAAAAAAAGGATGACAAGTTAATCTATGTAGTTTAAAGAAACAAAATAGTAAGCTTTTAACTACTTAGTTATATTGGTATCCTGCCCTAAACTCATAATTTTTTCCTCCTCACTATGCCAAGAAGTCAGGGAAGGGGGGATACTAGCACAAGTTGGCGTTTCTGTGTGTGTGTTGATAAATTTTGTACTTTAAATGTAAATGACTTTAGGAAACTAATCCTACTCCTACTTTCATATAAAAATAAACTTACGATCAGTGATGATTGCATCAAAATACGTGCCCTTCCTCCAGGAAGGCTTAGATGCATCTGAAACCAGGACATCAAGGTAATACTTCTCTAAACCATACTGACGAAGATTTGCCCTAATGTTTTCATCTGGTCCTCTCCATTTCTGGTTTTTCCTACTAGCCTTTCCTGAAGGGAAAGAAAGAGAAAGTACCAAATCAAATAGAGCCTTCTTACTTCTTGTCATTTAGCTAAAAGTAATGTTTAACTCATCTAAACCTACATCTACTCAAATAAGACTTGCTTTCATTTAAAATCTTAATCTTATTTCTACAAATAAACAATTATTTTTATTTCAACTTACTATAAAAATACATTTTGAGCAGTAAAATATACTGATGTCTAACTTATTTTGTCCAGTCACCTTTCAAGTAAAACTGCCTAAAAACACTCATTCAATACTTAACTGAGTTCAAAGCATATACCAGTAAACAGAGTTGAACAGAACATGGTCCCTTTCCTCAGGCAAAACAGTCCCATGCAGAATATGACTCCTATGAATCAGATAAAACCAAGAGAAGTGACAAGAGCTAACTTGGGAAATGCAGGAGCTGTGACCACGGAGAGAGGCAAAATGGAGGCATTACACACAAAAAGTTAAAGAGGAGGTCCAAGGAAGAAGTTCAAAAGTTCTAGTCTAGGAGACACCAGTGGACACCGTTAATTAAGACTGGAGAAATCAAGAAGAAAAACAAGCTTAGCGAAAAAGATGAGACTCACTTGAGATCTATCAATCGTACTATACCTTGAGGTTCCTACAGAACATTCAGAAAAGAGATTCAGCAGGCAGCTGGAGGCCAGAATAGATACACTTGGGAGATAGTATATAAACTTAAGTTAAATCCATAAGAATGAATGACATTTTTTATTAACTGTGCTGGCAGTTACATAAGTGTCTGTTCTACAATTATTCTTCTATTTTTATAAACTCTTTTGTATTACGATCTACCTCACAATAAAAACAAAAGTTAAAAATCAAAAGGAGAAGAATGACATGACTCTGTACAACATGTAGTGCGATAGGAGATGGAGTCAAAGAGAGCTGCCCAGAGAAAAGCAACATGCAAACAGACATCAAAGAAAACTGCACAGACTTAAGGAGACTGAGACAGACAGTAAAAGAAATAAAAGTACCATCCGATGAGAGCAGTGTCTAGGAAACCAAGGGAGGCTTTACGGAGGTTGACACTGCCAAATGCTGTAAATCTGGGGGTTAGTAAGAGTTTTCAGCAGACACGGAAGCTAGAAAATAACAGGCAGCAGAGAGAGAGACGAAGAAAAAGAAATGGCAAATAAATACTAGTTTTTAAAGAAGCACTTTGGCAAAAGGAAGAGGAAAACAAAGTGGTAGCTACAGGACCCCTGCACGATTGATAGAAAAGGTTTCAAAACAGGAGAAACTTGAGACTACTTGAGAGTACAGAAAGAGTGAGAAGCACAGGAAACAGCAGGCACGTCTAACAGCATCTTGGATCGGCTCTAAGGAAACTCAACCTCAATCAGAACTCTATCCAAGTAGACTACAGGTTATAACATAACTTTTAAACAGAAACTTCATAAATAAAAATTCAAATAAATTATATAGGACTATTTTCTTAAAGCAAACATACTGCTTCTACTAAAAGCAAACTGGAATTATTCTTCTGAGCACCCTGTCTACTCTAATATACTGCAGACAGAGCATATCGTCTTCTGGTTAGCCCATTTAGGTGAACTTGATAAAACATAACTCACTTTCCTTATGATAAATATTACTGAATTCCTTATAGTCAAGGTAGGAAAAAAGATAGGCCATCAAGTACAATATATCAAATTGCTTCAGCAAAAGAAAAGGTATAAGAAATTCTCACCTATATAATAACTTCACTGGGTGAGAAAAAAGAAAAGAGTGTTTTAAGGGTTGATTTTAGTTACAACAATGGAATACCAACATAAACACAAACAATTTCAAAATCAATGAAATATGACATTTTTAATACCATTCAGCTATAAAGAAATACTTGTTCAGTTTGATTCAATTCCATTCAATTAAACATTATTACCTAAGCTTCTAGAGTTTAAAATATTTTCCAAAATTGCCTCAAAAGCAAGCAGATGCTTGTCCTAAGTTACCCTGAGTCTAATGCAGCATCTTTAAAGTTATTGTCACCTTATCTGTTTCAAAGATGTTTCGGTCAGTTATGAAATTAAAAATGTATATGGTACTCAAGGACTAGAAATTAATCCAGCATACACTCAATGTATGATTACTGAATAAAAGAATGGTCGTAATCTGTAGAAACTGTGTATTTTATTAACATGGACATCTTGACTAAAAATGGCTAGTCCCTTCTCTCCTACTTCTTTCCCAGCAAGTTCACAACCTTATAGTTTGCCTATTTTTTAAAAAATCTCTCGGGGCTGGCCCAGTGGCGTGGTGGTTAAGTTCAAGTGCTCCATTTCAATTGCTCAGGGTTCATGGGTTTGGATCCAGGCAGGGACCTACACACCACTCATCAAACCATGCTGTGGCAGTGTCCCACACACAAAGTACAGGAAGACTGGCACAGATGTTAGGTCAGCAACGCTCTCCCTTAGGGAAAAAGAGGAAGATTGGCAACAGAGGTTAGCTCAGGGCCAATCTTCCTCACCAAAAAAAAACCAAAAAATAGCTCTTACTAAGATTACAAATACCTGTGAGGGGAGGGCTTTTTCTTATCCATCTTTGTGTTTCCCCCAAGAGATCACTTTGCACATACTGGATACTTCATAAAAAGCAAATACCCAATGAAGTTTTATTGTTGTAAAAATAAGTGAAACTACATTATATCACAACTCTGCATTTTAACATTAGAAATAGATGTACAATGCCATATAAAACTATTTAATTATTTTAAAGGCTCATTTGGTACAAGAGCAAAGACTTTAATGCTAACTAAAACTTCTACTCACCCAAGCCATGAACTGTGTTGTAGTCTATGTCTGTCCCATACACATATGCACCAAAATGTGCAGATGCTATCAGAAGGCCACCTAAAAAAAATCACACAATTATGATCTGTTAACCAGAAAGTCCCAGACTCTTGTTTCTTCCCCTATTTAATCTGATCCAGATTCTTACAAACTAGCTGCAGGCACAGTACCCTAGAATGACACTGGTCCTGGCCATATTTAGCAGACCTCAGAACTGAAAAAACAAACCCCTAAACTGTGCTCACTACATTGGTCACAGAGCAAGGAATTAATGTATGCCCTGGCATCATTACTTTCACCAGCACTACTTAGAGAAAATTATCTTCTTTTGGTCAAAATAATGTATGTTTAGTGATTTTCACCTTATTTTCAGAGGTCTATACAAACCATCTTCCTCCTTTCTTAAAAATGAGGATACAAGGCTGCTATAAGCAAACAGCTGGTAATAAATTCTGATAATTGGGCTCAACTGCCACTGAAGTCACAGTTTCAAATAACTAAAGAGGGCACAATTGATATATAAGACATTAATCTTTGCAATTAAAACATTAGGAAGAATAGTTACTTCTATAAGCAGTGAAGCAATTATCTCTTAAACTGTAAATATGAATTTATGAATAACTATTATCAAACATACACAAAAATAATTAATACAATGACTTCTGTTTACTTAGTGCTGTGATCAAAGTGAAAACAAATGTCTCAAAACCATCTGATTGGATTAAGTAATTTGGTAGGTGGGACGAGCTCACACATGGAGAAAAATCTAATAAAGATTAAAACATTAATGAAATTCCTTTAAAATAAAAGGTGACAATATTTTTAAATTATTTAAGAAAAAATTTACAAAGTTAAATAATTTAATAATTGTACTTTTCATTCACCTCCACTTTTTGTAAATCATCCAAATTAACATGCTCTCAATGCTTGGGCAAGTCTTAATAGCTATACTGTAGAAAGGGCTGTCAGTCAGAGTGAAATCAGTAAGCATTCTTCGATTATGCACAAACTCACACAGGGGAAAATAGCTAGGGTTCTTTCCCTTATATTCTTTTAAAATGTAATCTCCTAAATTAAGATGGGTAGTGCCTCCAGAGGGTCAAGATCTATAAATTAATGGTGTTCCTTCCATAGCCATTTAAAACATAGTTTGGTAACATGTACTTAAAAATACTTTGCTCATGAAAAATACTGTAACTACTTTCTACTGGAGTCCATGAAGAGGAGAAATGGAGGACCAAAGAACAGCAGAAACCAAAACCTAGGTTCCTTTACACTACCTAAAAAAGCACCTGTGCGAGAGGTACGGTGAGGAGGACCACACAATTCTTACTCTGTAAATGGACCAGTCCATCTTCAGGAAACGTACTATATGTGATGATTTGGAATACTCATAAAATCACTTCACCCAAATTACGAGGAATTACTACAATTCTGCCAATTAAGGCAGATACTCACCTAGAAGAACTAGTTGTCAAGGGAAACAGAAAAGCTTTCCTGTGCTTCCTTAAACAGAACCTTATCCATTTGGTTAGAGTGAGTTTTGAGAAGACCCAATTTAGAGTACACTGCTGGAAGGAGATGAATAATCTGTTAGACTGCATCTGTTAGTTAACTCAGTGCCCTTAAGCTTTTCAACTTTTAAGTAAAATCATTATAAATTAGCTTCTCTGAACTAGTCACTGGGTAATCACTGTTAATCATCTAGTTGTTTTTTCAATTAAATTGAAAATTCTTTTTGCCTTTAGTTATACCTCAGTTGCAGTTTCTTTGGAAGCTTTCTGGTGGAAGAAGGGGTGATAAAAAAAACAAGGGATAAAGTGTTGAGAGGGCAGGTGAGGAGACTCACTCAATGTCTTATTATGCTATCAAGTGTAAGAATACCACGTATGTGATCTAGACTAGCAATTCAGTGTTCTAAATTCTCATTACTTAAATGGTAACCACTTTAAGGTTAGGGTAATATCTTACAGGTGAAAGGATATAATAAATGGAATTTATTTAGGATATAGAAACTAATTTATGACTTTCATCTTTAGAGAGTTAAGTAGAAAGCTTTACAAAATTATGGAAATAAGAACTGGGCTTTGGTTTTGCTGAAAGAAAAGGAGAAAAGGAGGAAAAATGGTGATACTACTACATCTATTTTATCCTTTTTAAAAAAGAACTCAAATAAATTAAACTAGCAGCCTGAGCAAAAGGGTATTGCCAGAAAATGGAAATTCTACCAGACAAACTATGAGACTCAGGAAAAGGGGAGCACAAACAGCCATGGACAAAATGGGAAGCAGAGATTACTATATAGACCTACAGAGATCCACTCTCTCTCTCCTAACTTCTCTTTTCCTCTTCAGTCTCCTCCCAGAACTAGGACAGCTGGTTTCCCAAAACCTGGCTCCTGTGTCTATCATTCTGCAATGATAAAATTTCAAAAGGAGCCACATTCCTCTCCTTACACCCAGGAGCTATGTGAAGGTAGGAGAGGCCAAGGAGCGTACAATAGCCTCCTGGGTGTACTCTCAATTACGAAAGGAGCTGACTCACTTGAGAGAGGGGAAGGGGAAAAGGAATCAGAGCTATGGCTGCAGAGCTCCATCAAAAAATCATATCACAGCCAACTACAGCCATTGGCAGACACTGGGACAAATTATTTTTCACTATAAACAAAGAATCAGAAGTTTACAATTTTAACCCTCAAATTCCCTGCCTGCTGCCATAATTTGTCAACAGTTGCAAATTAAGAATATCTTGGAATACAGCCAAAGAAGGGTTTGAAAATGAGTTTATGGCAAGATTGTTCACCATCACCATTCAATATTAGCTATATCTAACATCTTTCATCACCAAAAAAGCATCTAAGTTCTTAACAAAATAATAATTCAAAAATAATGATAATCCATACAGTTCACTGAATAGCTACTATGCGTCAGCTAACTTGCTGAGAATTTCATATCCATGTATTACCTCACTTAATCCACACAATATATTACTTACTACCACTTTACAAATGATGGGACTGAGGCTTAGACAAGTTAAGAATCTTGCCCAAAGTCACACAGTAACTGATAGAGTAAGGATTGAAAACTCACTCTATTTGCTCTGTGATAGTCTCTACAATACCACTCCTTTGGGGTCAGCAGCAATTGAAATAAGTATACGTTAGCTTACCAATTAGATAAACATATTCAACAAATTGAATTAAATTAAGTAAGTAAAGCTGGACACTCAGTTAATAAGAGTTATAGACCATCCACAAGTCTTGTATCATATCGCAGGCAGGCCTGTGCCATCGTAAGTGTTCAACATATTCACGCCGATCACTCTGAGTGATGCTCAATCAGAGCGGCAGTTCAGACACTTCCTCACTACTGAGAGCTGACCCATGATATGTATCCTCTCCCTTGGGAAAACGGAGATACACAACTTTGAAAAAACAAACCTTACTAAAGTGAAAAACAACATATTTGCTAAAATGGAAAGAAAAGTGTGTTTCTGCAGCTCATAATGTCATCCTAGATAATGCAGCAGACTGTCTAAACGAAAAAGGAAAGGTGTTAAGGCAAGAGAAGATTTTCTCTCTCCTTCCAGTTTCCCAGAAGTTTGTCTATACCTTGAGATAGTCACAGGTCACCAACAGTCAGTAAGTAAAGCATTGGGGAAACTAATACATATCAGTTTTGTAATCTTTAAAACTGAAAATTTAACACTTGAATTAAAAAAATACAAAAAAAGAAACAGAAGGAAAAAATATCATAAAATACTTTGTGAAAAACTATGGCCATGGAGGAGGGCACAGGGCTACTCATTTCTCCAATCCTTCAGAAGGTACTACCCATCAACCAGACAAAAGGACCAAGAAAGAGGACAAACTGTGCTTAAGAACTGTGTCAATTCAGAATTGTTGGCTATTACCAGTTTCAAAACAAAAGCACCAAAAACTAGGTACAGTCCTAAAGTTACGTTTATACAAACTCAAATTACAAAATTTTAGCAGCATTTCTGCAGAGATCTACCTCTTGCAATTTTCTATTAACTGTCTTAAATATTGCAATTAATTTTCCATTAACTATCTTATACAAACTGCCCAATGACTAAGATATGCTAACCACTTTAAGGAGCTGCCCTAAAGCAAATCAGGGGCAGGTCTCCCCTCTCCTCACCACACTAGAGGTAGTCAATACCTTGATGGCTGTGGAAGTTAGCATTTCACAATATACCCAGCCTCATCTACATCGAGGGAAGGAAATTTTCCCCATAGTTCTAGGAACTCTGTTTTTAAACTTTACGGTATGGTCTACATGTTTGCGTGCATATTAAGCATTACGTACATGAATATAACTCAAAGAATTCCTCTCACTTCACAGAAAGAGTTTTTAGAAGTCCAAGAACAAGATTAAGGATTAATAAAGAGTTTAGCATTTAGAAAAAGATAAATTGGACCCATTCCTCACAAAATACAAGAAAATAAACTCCAAATGGACCAGAGGTCTAAAAGGAAAAATTAAAATTAAGAGAGTACTAGAAGAAAACATAGCTGAATTCCTCTATAATTTGGATGTAGGGAAAACTTGTGTGTGGCAAAAAGCAATTACATGCAGAGTCAAAAGATAAATGGCAAACTGAGAGAAAATATTTTATATATATTATTTTATATTTATATATATATAAAACATTTTAAAATGGGGGGTTAATGTCTCTAACATACAAAGAACTTTTAAAAATAAGGAGGAACAAAAAGACTACAGAAACATGAGCAAAAGACATGAAAGACAATTCCAAAAAAGTTATAAAAATGGCCCTTAAATATAAAATGTCATTAGACTTCATTCATAATAGGAAAAATAAAAATTAACACTTCATTGAGATAACATTTTCACCCAAGAGACTGGCAAAATTTCAAAAGCTTAACAATTTACCCTGATGGAGCAGCTGTGAGGGAAAAGGAACTCATCTATTGCTTGCAAGAATGCAAAATGGCATAATGGAGAGGAATTTGAAAACATTTAACAAAACTACATATGCATACACTCTTCAACCCAGAAATCCCACTTACAAGAATTTACCCCAGAGCTATATCTCCAACATTATGAAAGCATGTATGCACAAGATTATTCACTGCAAGAATTATTTGTAACTGCAAAATATTGAAAACTACCCGGTCCAAGTAGGAGATTGTTTGAAAAAATTTCAGTCCCTACGCCCGTGGAGTATAACTATAAAAAAAGAATGAAGACAACCTCTATGAACTAACAGGAAATGATATCTAGGAAATATTGTTAAGCGAAAAAAGCAAAGTTAAAAACAACATATAGGGGCTGGCCCGTGGTGCAGCGGTTAAGTTCGCATGTTCCACTTCTCAGGGGCCTGGGGTTCGCCTGTTCGGATCCTGGGTGTGGACATGGCACCACTTGGCAAGCCATGCTGTGGTAGGCATCCCACAGATGAACTGGAGGAAGATGGGCACGGATGTTAGCTCAGGGCCAGGCTTCCTCAGCAAAAACAGGACTGGCAGTAGTTAGCTCACGGCTAATCTTCCTCCAAAAAAAAAAAAAAAAACCATATATAGTATGCTATCTTTTGTGTAAGAAAGAAGTGGAAATAAGAAAATGTACATATATCTGCTTATCTTAAAAAAAAAAAAAAACAGGAAGAATGAACTAGAAAACAAAGAAGTTGGTCACCTACAGGATAAGGAAGCAGGATGGGAGGGATATGAAAGAAAGTGACATTTCTCTGAATCTACCTTCTTGTGTAGTTGTGACTTTTGGAAGCAAATTAATCTTCTACATATTTAAAAATAAAAGTAAGGGGCCAGCCTAGTGGCATAGTGGTTAAGTTTGTGCACTCTGCTTCCATGGCCCAGGGTTCACAGGTTTGGATCCTGGGCGCAGATGGAGCATCACCCATCAAGCCACACTGTGGTAGCATCCCACATAAAATAGAGGAAGACTGGCACAGGTGTTAGCTCAGTGACAATCTTCCTCAAGCAAAAAGAAGAAGACTGGCAACAATGTTAGCTCAGGGCCAATCTTCCTCACAAAAATAAATAAATAAATAAAGGTAAACCAACAAGGATGAGGGGGAGTAAAAATCTAAAACTGAGGGCAAACTGGAAAAAGTGAACTTAACTGAATTTTAAATGAAGGGGGAAAAGAAGAAAGCACAATATTTGACTTTATTGCCCCTTAGGCAGAGTAGGGAACTAAAAACATATCCTGAAAACATATCTTTTAATAGGATTTTTTTTTAGTGGTATAGGCAAAGCAATTTTGAAATTATTCTAAATTTATTATAGGAATGAGCAAAAGAGTAAATGTGTGTTGATGCTGATAGGAACCAGGGTTCTAACAGCGGAGGGAAGTACATGTAAATATGGAAGGGGGGTAGGCAAGAAAGAAATTTGTGGGGATAGACTGGAATTTGTAGTATATGTGAAAATCTCACAATTTCTAAAATATGTCAACATGCACAGATAGTATATGTGTAGGAATATGTGTCTGTGTATTTGCACAGGCATTTACATGCACATTGTGTACACACACACACATATATTTCCCAGCTTATCGGCTAAAGGGTCTAGAAATGAAGATACCTAGCATCCAGATCTTGGTCTCTAACATCATTCCCCACCAAAAGAAACAAGGGTTCCCTGGAGAAATGATTCATTCCAGGGTTTGGCAGGTAGAAGACGAGCCAGGGAGTGCTCAAAAAAACAAAAGAAGATAGGAACATGTCACAAAGACAGATCCAATGTGAAAGGGCTCTCACTAGGTAAATCTAGGAGAACTTGAGGAACAAAATAATTAAGAAAAGTAATGAATTATAGACCATTGGGGGGGGAAACGGGGGAATTTACTAATTCATATTAATAATAGATAAATACACAGGAAAGAAGAAAAGGCCCCTCCTTAGAACAGACTGAGTATCAACTGGTAAATGCGGCGCGAGTGCTGGAGTTGAAAAATCATCCCCTTGTAAGCATCAAAGTCAAGGCTACTTCAGGCAAGAATCATCAATGGATGCTAAACCTGACAACCTGACAGGACTGAGGGGGGATTTAGATATGAAAAAGAATATTTATATGGTCTTAATGTGTCTCCCCACAGACTGCCTGTTAACTGCAAAGGAAAAAAAGTAGTACAGTTATGTGTCACTTAACGATGAGGATATGTTCTGAGAAATGTCTCATTAGGCAATTTCGTCATTGTGCGAACACCATAGAGTATACTTTGGCAAACCTAGATGGCATAACCTACTACACACCTAGGCTATACGGTACTAATCTTACAGGATCATCATCATATATGCAGTCCGTCATTGACCGAACGTCATTATGCAGCACATGACTGTAATCACACTAGGGAAAAAAAAATCGAACACTGTCTGACCCAGCTGATCAAAATTAACATTATCAACAAGGGGCAGATAGACATCATCTGGATGCCCTGAGAAGGACACAAAATCACTGATGTAGAAGTCCAGCCAGGAACCTGAATCCAATCATGAGAAAACATCAAACGACCCAAAATGAGGAACACTATGGATAAAAAATAAAGGGTAGAGGGACAGTACTGTTTGCAAGTGCCAATTTCACAAAAGAAAGGATTTGGATATGTTCCATATCAAAGGGATCAAAGAAATGTTGACAACAAAATACAATACTTGATGGCAGACTGGAAAGAAAAAAAGATGGTATAAAGGACATTAGTGGGTCAATTAACAAAAATGAAATATAAACATTAATGTATTGTGTTAATAGTACATGTACGAACATTGAAAACTATACCGTGGTTATGTAAGAGAATATCCTTATTAAGAAACATATACTGAAGCACTTGAGGGGTAAAGGGACGTGATGAATGCAACTTATTTTCAAATGGTGCAGAAAAAAAATGTTATGTACATAAACAAAGAAAAAACAAATGATAAAGTAAATGAGGCTGTTAACAACAGTTTAATCTGGGTCAAGGATATGTAGGTGTTCTTTGTTCTATTTTTATTCTCATAACTTTTCTATAAATTTGGCATTATTTCCAGTAAAAGTTCAAGAAGTAGAAGGAAGCACTAAGGATAATGAGGTTAGGGAAGAAAGGAATAAGTAGTATGCAGGGGGCGGAATATATGGAGACAATGATGGACTGGGAGCAGAGAGACTCGCTAGTGGATTAATTCAACAACACACACAGAAAATCATTCCTTCAGAGATGATTTTCCACAGAAATCTCTCGACTTTAATACTATTTCTTCCTAGTCACATGTGGTCATATTCCTCAAGTTGGTTTATGCGGTACTAGCTGGCTGGCAGATCCTAATGCAGAGAGAGGCAGCTCTAGGACAGTAGTGCAGAGCAGAAATTCTGGAGTTAGACTGCTTGAGTGTGAATCTCGTGAAATTTACACACTGTATAACCCTGGCCAAATCACTTCACCTCTCTCTGTGCCATCATGTCCTCAGGAAGATTTTTTAAAGTTTCTCCATGTCAGTTGTAAGAATTAAATCAGATAGTAACGTTAGATTGCAGAGCGTAGTACCTGACACGTTCACTATTCAACCAGTGTTAGCTATTGCAGCATCTCTGCTTAGGGAGTTTCTGAGGGGGAAAGATGGCTACAGGGTGAAACTCTAAACACAGCCTAATTTGTTCCCACACAATCTGAATCACAATGAATTTAGCCAGACAAACCTAAACATGAGTACTCCCTAGGTATGGGCAAGATCGAGCAAAAATGGGTTGAAGCAGGAAAATGTCTGTGCAGAGTCAGATGAAATAACCTTGGAATTTGAGAACTTCTACACAAAGTTAATGACAAGGACATCCAATCAAGTATGTATAGAACCCAGGTCGTGGCCTCAGAAGCCAGGCTCTAGCCCAGTAATACTCAGTCACTTTTCTTATTTTCATACATATAAACCTCCACAAACCAAATCAAAGATAAGGCACATTAACCATTCTTCTCCATGTAAGTATATGGTTATCAATTTTAAAAGATGGATACTTTTTTTTTTATCTTATCACTCAAGTCTTTCTTCCCCTCAAGAGTTTTCCTATTTAAGTAACATACGTAGCTTTACATTTCGACAACGTATGCTGTTGCAATGTATGGTATACTCCTCCCTAGTGGTTTACTTGGGGGAAAAACCCCACAAAATTCTATCAGCATCATCTTTGAAGTCACAAAAGTGTTAAATATTAGCTATTACACAAACGTGGTTGTCTCTTAGCCACTATCTAATGATAATTAAAAGACTATTCTATCCATTTAATCTCTTAGCATTATTACTACGACTTTGACTAATAAAAACAAGGAATGTCTCTACACTAGCTTAACCATTAAATAAAAATACCTGTTCCAACAAATGGATCAAAGACAATATCATTTTCTTTCACTTTTCCATGGTTGGCCATGATAAATGATAAACCAGCATCCATGCTTGTATTTCCAATAAAATGTCTCTTTTTGACACTGTATGACTCGATAAGCTCCCTCTGTCCATCTGCAATCTAGATCAGAGATAATTTTCAAATTAGTATAACTGTACAGAAGAGATTCAAGATAATCACTCACAGTGAAACCACAGTATCTTGATGATAACTTCTTTCCGCTTACTTCTGCCCTAAATTTTAAAAATGTGATTAAGGTAGTTACAGAGAAATATCTTTTATTTCTTAGTGTGTCCCATTTAGTTTGACTTTTCAAATCAAATTTGGATTGAAGTTGATTGCAATTAACGCAGGGGTTGGTGGTGAGGAAGCTTTACCCACTTCTTTTTTCTCCTAAACAGCAATATTCTCGAACATAAGCCACAGCTTCCACTCGCACACTTACAGCCTCAGGGAAGCAGGCAGAACTGTCCTGCAGTATTTCATGTCTGTTCAGAATGGAAACCTAGACTGAAGAGCTCCCCAAATGAGACCCCTCAGCTATCACAGCACGCTGCCTTTTCTCTGCTTTATTAAAAAGCAGTTCAGACTTTCTGACAAGTCCTGTGTTCATGCTTCCAGGTCCACCACCTCCTAGCGAGGCCCTATATCTAACAAATCTCTTGCACTTCACAGGAATCTCTGGAAAAACAAACGGCACAAGACACACAACCACATACTTTTCACTGATTTTAATTCATACAGTAGTTCTGACTCTTCAGCTGCTTTTAAGTTCTACATATAAAGAGTCAAATACAAAGGCATAACATTGAGCTTTTAAAGAAACAAACTGAAATAGGTAAAAAGAATACTTGCTTACCCATCTACCAAAATAAACATTATGTGGATTCTCAGGGATGCAGTTTGGGTCCAAACCATAATCCTCCAAAAGAGAGAATATATGCTGTGGCTTCTTTAAATTCACTTTTCCTTCAAATGGCAGAAACTCAAGTGCCTAAAAAATAAAAGCAATCCTAATGTCTACAAAAATTTAAAAGGAAAAATAGTGCTTATATAAGCATGCCTATTTTATAAGTTTGGTAGCAATATTACATAAGACAAAACATGAAAAGTACTTAGCACACAATGTGCTACAAAATAAGCACTTACAGACACTGGGTATTATTATATATCAACAGTGGCTGGAGGACACTAATCTCATAGGTTTTTCGGTTTGTGCTAATTCACTTACATCTATTCGTTTGACTTTTTCTTCTTGTGTCAATGTTTTATTAAATGTATGAATCTTTATTTTATACGTTGAATCTGAATGCAGAAATGGAACCTAAAATAAAAGCAAATAAAATCTGTAAGCTTAGAAATTCTACAGTATCTGCAGATATGTCTATATGAAACCACTTTTCACTACGCACCATCTTCTCCACAGGGTAGCTCCTAAGAGAACGATACAGCTCCTCTGAAGATCTTCCATGACCCCACAGTTCAAATATGGACCTAGGAAATAAACGATTGGTACTAACCTCAGTAGAAATTAGTTCATGTAGTAGTAATAAGTAACAACTACTTCACTAGTTCCTTATGCTCACTCCACTAAAATAATTGCCTAAGTTTTCTAAGCTATAAATGTGAAATACACAGCCTGGAAACAAATAGAGCATTTGTCACAAGTCCAAATTATGCACAGGAGTTGAACTTTATACAGAAAGAGAAATTTAACATAAATGAAGATTTTTCCAAGTTTTCATCATAATATTTTTATACTAGAATACAAATGATGCAGTAAAATCACTTGTTATTTTAGTGAAATGAGTGAAAAGCTGCAGGAAATCCAATTTTTCCCAGTGTCCTCTCCATAAAACAAAAAGGAAAATGACCAGATAAAAATGTTACTATTAATATCTAGCTATTACTTAGTAACATTTAGGAACTATTAGTTACTTTTATTACTTAGAAAAACAAAATTCTTACTATAAAAAAATATTATCAGGGCTGGTGGCACAGCAGTTAAGTTCACACGTTTCAGCAGCCCGGGGTTTGCCGGTTCGGATCCCGGGTGCAGACATGGCACCACTTGGCAAGCCATGCTGTGGTAGGCATCCCACATATAAAGTAGAGGAAGATGGATGTGGATGTTAGCGCAGGGCCAGTCTTCCTCAGCAAAAAAAGAGGAGGACTGGCAGCAGATGTTAGCTCAGGGGTAATCTTCCTCAAAAAAAAAAAAAAAAATCAAGTTTCCATCAATTTCAAGGAACATTTAAACAATTACAACCAAAAATTCATTACAATCAATTAAACAGTTTTTAGAATTAGTGATAATGGAACTTGGTCTATACATTAGCATAGTGTTACACATCTAAATTCAAACTACTTTATAATTGTAATCAATGCTGCCATTAGGATTGAGAACATTATCCTTTGAAAACAAATTCCTCCTTGACCCTTTCTTTAAATTTATAGAAAGAGGGCCTCTACAGCAATTTTCCTCTGACTTAACTATCACTTAAGCAGTGACCTCAGCTACACAAAACAGAGAATAAAAAGCAACACAATAAAAAAAATTACTCAAAAATATCCCAAAATTCCATGTATTCACCGTTTTTGTCTTCTTCTTAATGTTTAAAAATTATAAGCTTGGTCAACTCATTCTCTCAACAAACATGTATTAAGGATTACTACATGAGAGGAATTGTTCTAGGTACCACTGGGATACAGCAGAGAATAAAGCTCCATGCCTTCATGAAACTTAAGGGAGAAAAAACTGGGCAAATAAACTGAGAGAAAACATAGGCAACACAATCTATGGAAAGGGAAAACTCTGAAAACCAAAATAATAAAAAGCAGTAAGAGCTAACAGCTAATATAACACAAAGTACAAGGAACTGTCCTAAGGCCATTTAATATTAACCCACTTATTCCTCATAGGAACCCCATGATGGAGCTGCCAGTATCATCATCCATTTAACCAACAAGCAAACTGAGGCACAAAGAGATTAATCTCAGGTCATACAGCAATTGATAAAGCTAGGATTCAACCCCAATCCTTCTGACTCCAAACTCCATACTCTTTACCACTATGATACGTTGCTTCTCAGAAAGAAAAATGCAAAAAGACCAGGAATCCCAAGCCATTCAGGAAAGGCACACACAGTTCCACACATCGTAATTATCCCTAATGAACTATTCTACAGTATAACACAGAAATGAATGCTTGTAATAACCTAGAATCAATAAAATATGAATACTCCATAGCCTCCTTTCCAGAAAAAATTTACATATTAATATATTTAATATTAAAATGGTCAAAATAAACATTCGACATATAACATAAACTTGAGTTGTAACTGAAACATTAATTTATAGTAACACCTTTTATGATTTAGATTTTCAGCGTAAACAGTTTTCATATATATAATTGTACTATTATGATCCCTGTTTTAGAGATTATAAAGCTTATATGGATTGCCCCATTTCTCATGGGTGCTATACAAGTAAGCGTGAATGTCAACTAATTAATATAAGGTTAATAATGATCTAAAATATTTCACTGATTAAAGAAGTAATAATGAAAACTTTCTGACAAAAATCCTTTAAGGGAATATCCTTTGAGGAAAGAAGGGAAATGGAATCGGGAAAGGTGCACAGGGAGCATCAATGGTTTCTGTAAAACATTTTCTTTTTCTCAAAAAAAAAAACCTGTGGCACAGAACACAATTGAGAGCCCAGAAATAAAACCACACACCTATGGACAGCTGATTTTGACAAAGGAGCCAAGAACATACAATGGAGAAAGGAAAGTCTCTTCAATAAATGGTGTTGGGAAAACTAGACAGCCACATGCAAAAAACGAAAGTAGATCATTATTTTACATCACACACAAAAATTAACTCAAAATGGATTAAAGACTTGAATGTAAGACCTGAAACCACAAAACTCCTAAAAGAACATACAGGCAGTAAGCTCTTTGACATCAGTCTTAGCAGCATCTTTTAGAATACCATGTCTACTCAGGAAAGGGAAACAAAAGAGAAAATAAACAAATAGGACTACATCAGATTAAAAACCTTCTGCAAAGCAAAGGAAACCATCAACAAAATGAAAAGACAACCCACCAACTTGGAGAAAATACTTGCAAATCATATTTCCAACCAGGGGTTAATTTCCAAAATATATAAAGAACTCACACAACTCAGCAACAAAAAAATGAACAACTCAATCAAAAAATGGGCAAAGGATGTGAACAAACATTTTTCCAAAGAACATATACAGATGGCAAACAGGCAGATGAAAAGATGCTCAACATCACTATTAGGGAAATGAATCACTATTTAGGGAATTACTAAAACTACAATGAGACATCACCTCACACCAGTCAGAATGGCTATAAAAAACAAAACAAGAAATAACAAGTGTTGGAGAGGCTATAGAGAGAAGGAACCCTCACACACTGCTGGTGGGAATGCAAACCGGTATAGCCACAATAGAAAACACTATGGAGATTTCTCAAAAAACTAAAAATAGAAATACCATATAATCCAACTATTCCATTACTGGGTATTTATCCAAAGAATATGAAATCAACAATTCAAAAAGATTTATGCACCCCTATGTTCATCACAGCATTATTCACAATAGCCAAGACGTGGCAGCAACCCAAGTGTCCATTAACAGATGAATGGATAAAAGAGATGTGGTATATATACACAATGGAATACTACTCACCCATAAAAAAAGAAAAAAGCATGCCATTTGCAACAACATGGATGGACCTTTAGGGCATTATGCTAAGGCAAATAAGTCAGATAGAGAAAGACAAATACTGTATGCTTTCACTCATATGTGGAAGCTAAACAAATACATAGATAAGGAGAACAGATTAGTAGTTACCAGAGGAAAAGGGCAGTGGTGGGAGGGCAAAAAGGGAAAGGGGAGCATGTATATGGTGATGGACAGAAACTAGACTAGTGACGGTGAGCATGATACAACCTATGCAGAAACCGAAATAACGTACACCTAAAATTACACAATGCTAAAAGTCAATGCCAACACGACCTCAATAAAAAAATTAAAAATTAAGAAAGAAACACAAAAAATCTATAGCAAATATCTCAAAATGTTGACACCTAACAAGGTAAACATGGTTTGTTTTTCATTGTTTTTGTGGTATGCTCAAAATATTCCATATTAAAAATAAATCAACCAAACAAAATTAACTTTCAATCCCTATTCTACCACTGAAAAATCTGAGTTTAAGCTAGTTTTGAGCCTATGCTTATTATAGTCTATTTTAATTCTGGAACAAGTAACACTACAATTAGGATTGTGATTTTTATCCTTTGCAAATGAATTCCTCCTTTGCTTTCTATTAAGTTTACAGAGAGAAGACCTCTACAGTAATACTCCTTTTACCTAGTTAACCCTTAAGGTATAACCTCAGCTCTGCAAAATAGAGAATAAAAAGTGGCCAAGGCAATTATTACATAATATTATACAATCATTACACAATTACTACTTGTACTGCCATTAATAAAATATATGCACCAGAAGATATGAGATTTGAAGAAAGTGTACAAGTTCTTGGTCCTCAAATAGCTATTTTAAACGTAGTAAGACTTAACGTCAGAAACCAAACACCTCTTAAAGCCATAAATTTTAAAACGCTAATCTAAAGTAATAATTACTCAAAGGATGTGTTTCTAGCTTACGTTTCCATTTTCTAGCCATTTTTATTGAATAAGATAGATCCACTAACAAGCTTCACTTTAGGAAATTAGATTTAGTACTGCGGCTAGTTTTCAATAGCATGAACTTAACTGAAGATGGGGCTGTAGTCTACTCAATACAGCAATTACATATCATGCTATAAACACTACTAATCATGTTAGTAAAACTAGATATATATAAATTCTTATTTGTACTGCATTATTAAATATTATAATTTCTAAGGAAAACATGGTTTTCAGCAATCTGCCAACATGTTAGGGAAAAAAAGCAAGTCAAGGATAAGTTGTTCAATTTTTAAGATGCTAGTTGAAAATACAGTTTAATTTTCAAACCCAAAGATATAAAATTTTCCAATAGTGTGGGGGGGGGGGGGGGGAAGAAAAAAAGAAACAGATGCCAACAATAAAACCTAGAAAACACTCAGGTAGGGTGAACGATAAATGACCTCATTACATTAATCCATACCAATGCACGATAATCAGAATTCCTCTAACAAATAAAACAGCAAAACATAATTCCTGGCAGGCCTCACTTTTTGTCATCTTCCACTTCAATCTGCTCATCCAAGTAAAAACCAATTATAAGAAACACATTTTTAGATTTTCAATACTTTGCTTATAATTAAATGTGGCATTTGTCCTATGTAATAACACAGCATTTTCATCTTACATTCCCTAAAACGGAAGTTTAAAACAATTATTCCAAAACAAGTGTTTCTGCATTTCACCACTGAGACTCTCATCTGGAGTTTCAGCAGACAACTCTTCTCTGTTCTCCCACCGCCATCCAGTGGCAAATGCAGGTAACTGCAAGCAACTCTGAGTTCCCCTCAACCACCACCACCTTCCACTTTCTGCCAGTAGAGCAAAGAGTAGGACAGAGTAGTTATGAGAAGTACAGTGTACATTATAGGTGTCTCTTACTTGGCACACACTGTCCGTTTCATTAAATTTCTGGCAATCTCTTCAGAGGGAATGCTAAGAATCCAAAAAGGAGACTGAAAGAAAGAACAATATACAACTTACTTCTAAGTGGTTTTATGGCCTCACTTGCTCTTATTCAGGAAGTCAATAAGGAGAGATTCCTATTTGTTACTCTCATGTAAGACATCTGCTCTGACTCTAACCAAAATAAAAATTTGCTCGAATAGTAAAAAAGTAAATTATCTTAGTAGGTAACCTGTTAGGATAATATCAATGTCAGAACACTTCTATAAATGACTCTAAATGAAAATATCAGCAAATTTAAGGTTATTTAAACTTAAGGTTAATCTTGTATTTGCTCTCTTATGTAGTCTGACCAAAAGAATGCATATTATAACCCAAAGTACAGTCTCAAATTTTTTATTGTTGCTAATCATTCCTTAAAATAAAGCTATTTTATTTTTAACTTCTAAGTAATGTATTTTTTTGAATGATCCCTCTTTTTCTAGGTAGTTGTAGCCACCTGACGGGAGGAGGCGGGGCTCTTTGAAATAACTATGATGGAAAATCATAGGGTATATTATTAAATTACCACTGATTTCTATTATTTTAGCTAAGGACAAAAGTTCCAGGTGCATCGGGGGGGGGGGTTCCCAATGCCCTGTCAACACTCAAGATGAGAGGCACTTTTAAACTCCACCCAGAGAACCCCAGAGCACAGCAAAACGCAGCAGGACCCTGACCTCAGTTCATCACCCTCACCCAACTGTATCCAGGCTCCCTCTTCTCCTCCCTCGATAAGTGAAGGTCACTCAGCAGCACAAGTCCAACCCCAGGGACTTTCAACTTAAGTTCTCTCATCTTTTGCAAGAAACCCTCCCTACGCACCCAGTCTTTCTTCTTCCAATATTACACTACTCTACGGAAAAATTCAAAATAATACAAACAGGAAAAAAGACGGTCATCTTAGTATTATTTTTATTAGGAAAAGTTTAAAAGCAACCTGAATGAAATGAAATTGTTAGGTAAATTATGGTAGAGCTAATCAATGGAAAATATTTCACAGCTCTGTTAGTGATGAAGGCTATGTAGCAACGTGTACCTAAATTAACACTATGAAGTGGAAAAGAGACTGCAGAAGTTCCTAAGTAGCATTACAACTGAACGAAAAAAGTACATGAAAAAAGACTGGAAGGCAGAATTCCCAAATTATAAGTCATGTCAAGGAGGAAGAACTGTGAATGATTTTTTCTTTTTCTTTTTCTGTTTTCCAAGCTTCTCTAATACACTGATAAACTATCAAATACAAAATAAATTCACAATCTTACACACGCACAATTTCACATTTTAAAATGATTCCCAATATAAGTCTGAAATTCTGCTAAATTCTAAATTTGAATTCTAATCACACATCATCAATATTCTTTTTCAGTGAAGGGACAGATATGAATTATAGTACAATTGTTGAATTAAAAATTAAAAACTAGTAAACTGGGGCCGGCCCCGTGGCCAAGTGGTTAAGTTCGCTCACTCCGCTTTGGCGGTCCAGGGTTTCCCCAGTTCGGATCCTGGGCGCAGACATAACACCACTCGTCAGCCCACGCTGAGGCGGCGTCCCACATGCCACAACTAGAAGGATCCACAACTAAAATATACAAGTATGTACCAGGGGGTTTATAGGGAGAAAAAGAAAAAAAAAATCTTTAAAAACTAGTAAACTAACTGAATACTGGAAATAAACCTAAATTTTTTCCCAAAATATCCTTTTTATTCAATTGCCCCCAGAAATACAAGCAGCCATATAAATATAAATTTAAGATTTGCAGTTCTCCTCAAACCTACAGTTCTATTTATAAGTATATTACGTATGGTATAATGAAGACTATAAACTCAGCTTACCTTTCCATAAGTTCCTTGATTACTGATGAACTGACCTCCAAAAAGTGAAAGCAAAGACTTTATCTCCTATATTGAAAATATTACAGAGGACATACTTTAACACAGGGAACTCAAAGTCTATGAATAGATACAATATAATAAGATTTTAAAAAAACAATGGCTTGATGATCTACCTGAGGCATTTAAATTTCAACACTAGACAAATTACAACTCTGGGTTCTGAACAAATTTTACAGTCACAACCATAGTAAGTAATTTCTGAGAAATTTTAGACAACAGGAGAGCTGCCAAAAGACTTGGTTAGAAAATGCCCTGATTCTGAAAAGGAAAAAAACAGATGACAAAAACTACAGATTAGTAAATCTGACAACTGACGAATAAAAATAAAATAATTAAACAGATGATTACAGAATGTTTAGAAGAGAAATAATGATTAACTAGGGAGCATCACTGTGGGTTCATTAAACACAAGCCATATTGAGTTAACCTCTTCTTTCTGGATAAAGTTACAGAACTAGAAAGAGAACACAATAGCTACTTAAACTCATCAGGTATGCAAAGTTGTAACCTATTCAGATAGTATGTATATTCTATGAAGCAATCACTTTGTATGGATGAACGTAAGATGACTATACAAATTTTATGATTTGTACTACTAACAAATTTTGTTTCCTCAAATAACATAAAGCAGGTAGAATCCCTCTCCTCTGTGTAGGTCTTAGAGAGGAGGTAACCTAACATATATATATATATGTATATATATAATAGAGAGAGAAGTGCCCCCGTTGCCAGGTGCCTACAATCCTCTTTCCTCCCAGCTAGGAGAAGGAGCCTTTAACTCCAAGCCCATCATGAGCAACAGCCACCACGAGAGAAAGTATACCCAGACTGCGGACATCCTCCACCTCAGGATCAAAAAGAATGGGAGGTTTGAGCAACTAGTGCCTTTTCTGCTTTCCTTTTGTCTATGCAACAAATCGTTTTTTTTTTAATTCCTGGTATTCGAAGAGGCTAAATTCAGTTGAAGCACATGGACAGACCAAGAATTAGCATGGACTATCAGTAAATCACTGAAAGTAGCCCAAAAGCCATTTTGCAAGATGGCCTTCACAAATTTAACTAGCTGGCCTCACTGGACCTGGCAGGCAGACCACAATTTGATTTTCAGCTCTTCCAAATAGCAGCCGGTGGTTTTATACAGGACATCAGCTCTTTCAGCTCTCAGTTCCCTTGTCTACAAAAAAGGAATCACAGCTATCTCATGAGGTAAGCAGGTATGTAAAGAGGGGAGCACAGAACCTAGGCTGTTAGCAGGGAATCAAGATGACGATGACAACACTGCCCTTGAAGTCCAGCGGCTCAAGAAATCAGGGAAGATAGACAGAGTTTAAATACTGAAAAGAAAAAACAAAGTTATAGGTTAAGTTACTTGGTCTAGAATCATTACTGTTCATTCTCTATTAAAGCATATTGTGAAATCAGCTTTACATTGGAAACATCAAAGTTTGCTGCTCCTGGAATAAACCGTTAAGAATCAGCAACAGGCGGGCTGGCCCCGTGGCCGAGTGGTTAAGTTCGCGCGCTCCGCTGCAGGCGGCCCAGTGTTTTGTCGGTTCGAATCCTGGGCGCGGACATGGCACTGCTCGTCAGACCACGCTGAGGCAGCGTCCCACATGCCACAACTAGAGGAACCCACAACGAAGAATACACAACTATGTACCGGGGGGCTTTGGGGAGAAAAAGGAAAAAATAAAATCTTTAAAAAAAAAAAAGAATCAGCAACAGGCTAGAACACAAAGGCTCTATGAGCCTAAAGAAAAGTGAAGGCTTATGGGAAGTTGTATGGTATAGAGTTAGCCCCACTACCCAAAACTTACGCAATGACTTAAGACTGAGAGTAAATGCGATAACCTAAGCTCCAAATTTAAAAGCAAAACATTAAACTACTCCATCAATCTACTTTGAAAAAGTAAAACGAAATATTTACTCATCTTATGGTAAATTCACTTCCTAGTTGAGAATCTTTCTACATTAGGAACAAATGAATCTGTATTGGATATAAAACTATGGCATCATCTACAGCATGCCTGATGCATTAATTCACCTGAGCTTTCCAGTTCTTTCAGCCACTCACTTTTTCATCCGTTTAGTTTGCTTCAGAACCAGCAATAAAACCCAGGTGGCTGAACTTTACTTTCAGTACAATAAGGCGGCTGCCAACTAAAATTGGCCCTGATTAACTCTACAGAGGTAAAACCAGACCACACTTACCTTCCTAATCTCTTATTTTAATCATAAAGGCAGCTACTCATTACAACTTTCTGCCTAGCAGTTCTAATACAGTAGATGGGCCCAAAAGTGTAGCTGATCCTTTTGATTACCTTTCCCAAAGGGATCCTTTCACTCAAGTCAATATTTATTAAACAACTGATAAGTGCAAGGCACTGAGCTGTGTAAAGATAAATATATATTTATCCTCAGGGAGCTTAAGGTCCAGTAGAACTAACAAAACACTTAACCTAGTAACTGAAATGTGAGGTGTAAAACAGCGAGTGCTCTTAAAGAAGCAAAAAAGTATTCTAGTAGAGTACAGGGGAGGAAAAGGTTACTTCAGCTGTAGAAGAAAAGTTTCAGCGGAAACTGACAAACCCTAAACACAGAATTTGTATAGATGAAAGAGGACTTCCACTTCCAGTACCAGCACACTAGGTAATTCAGATTATGCCTCCTGCTGAGAAGAAGTAGAAAATCCTGACATCTGCTTGAAGACATGGAGAGATCACAAGAATTACCAAACCAATATCCAGGAGAGGACAGAAATCCCAAGGTGGAGCCACTTGCTCCCTGGGACAGTTACCAATTCCAAAAGCAGCGGTGAGGGTGGACAGCCCTTTTGATAGCTCAGTAGAGAGAGGGCGATAAAAAGAGTATAGGACCATCCAAGGGGGGGAAAGGAGGCTTGATACACCACCCAGTTTAGACTGGGAATCCCAAAAAGCAACACACCCTAGGAGTATGTTTGAGTATGTGTGACTCAGAACAGAAACAGAACTTAATGCCTGAAAATGAGTTCAAGTGATCCTAGACCGTTAATGCTCCAATGTGCTCCTATCTTCTCAAGAGGATTTACATCATCCTAGGCTTCATATTATGTCTTCAAATAAATTTTCAAGTAATCTGGCACATATTTAAGAAATAACGCAGCACATAAATGAAAATGCACCAAGAGAAATAATATGCAAAAGAAACAGACCCACGGGACCTCTTTTATCATATTTAACATAAACTGTGCTTTCTATATGCCTGTATTTTATCATACTTAACATAATTATGCTTTTGATATTGAAAGGGATAAAAGACAATTAAGAATTGGCAGAGGATGAAAAACTATTAGAAAGAAATTGCAGATTTGAAAAGAATCAAGTGAGGGTTGGCCTGGTGGCACAGTGGTTAAGTTCGAGCACTCCACTTTGGTGGCCCAGGGTTCACAGGTTCAAACTCCAAGCATGGACCTAGCTCTGCTTGTCAAGCCACACTGTGGCAGCATCCCACATAAAACAGAGGAAGATTGGTACAGATGTTAGCTCAGGGCCAATCTTCCTCAAGCAAAAAGAGGAAGATTGGCAGCAGATGTTAGCTCAGAGCCAATCTTCCTCACCAAAAAAAAAGAAGAATCAAGTAAAAAATACAAACCTAAATAACTATGTGCATAAATCTAAATGAAATTGACCTTATAAAATTAACAGATTGAATACTGTGATAGGAAAGACCCAAACCAGAAAAAAGGGAGCACAGGGAGCAGAGGCCAAAGCAGGAAAACCATGGGGGGCTGGGGTCCCGTATCATTCAGGGAATGATGGGGAGTCCATGGTTTTGGCTGCAGTGAGGGCGAGGAGGGAGACAGAGGAGAGAACCATGCAGTGAGGGGCCCTGAATGCTAGACTAAGGAGTTTCAGCACTGGGACAACGAGGACGCAAAACAGAACTGAGCTTTTGGGAGATTAAACTGGCACCAAGGTAAGACACTGACTAAGAAGAACTTAAGGAAGAAGAAACAGGTAAAATCACCAGGTACCAGGGATGTTATTCTTAAGACTGCAGCCTAACTACTCCATTCTTATTGCATGCCTGACCATAGGCACTCACCCTCCTTGGCCTCTCCTGGTTTCACTCCAGTATCCTCTAAGTGGTATCCCTTCTCTGGTACTCCAGAATTATCTTTCTAAAATACAAATGATTACTAGTCATTTCCCGGTTTAAAAAGAAAAAACACTTGCAACTTCCTTGCTTAAAAAGGAATAAGGAGGGGCCGGCCCCATGGTCGAGTGGTTGAAGTTAATGTGCTCCACTTCAGCAGCCTGCAATTCACAGGTTCAGATGCTGGGCGTGGACCAACACACCGCTCATCAAGCCATGTTATGGTGGCATGCCACATAGGAGAACTAGAATGATTTACAACTAGGATATACAATTATGTACTGGGACTTTAGGCAGAGGAAAAAAAAAAAGAGGAAGACTGGCAACAGATGTTAGTTCAGGGCCAATCTTCGTCACCAAAAAGCATACCAAAAAAAAAAAGGGAAAAAGAATCGATGGCTCCCTCCCCATTAAATCTAAAATAAAATCCAAATTCCTTGTGATAAACAAATGAAAAGGAATAGTATATATTGGAGTATATGAGGAAGTCATTTGATGTAAAACCAAATCTGCTTGACCTTGTTTTTTCCAAAAACGCCTGATGTGGCCCATTGATCATGCATTATACATCTGCTTTAAATATTTACTATGCCCCAAAGAAGGATGCCCCTAAAGACAGGGATGTAGCTTCCCCATATCAGTGTTTCTTTAAGGATGAGCATCTCTCCCTAAACTAAGGATTAATTACTGACCTGCTGTGCTCACCTTGTAACCACTCACCTTGTGACCACCAATATGGTGTGCCAGCAAAGCAATCTCATGACAATTGTAAAACGGACATTCCTATCATATGTGATGTATGCTTTTTGTTCCAAGACAGTATATAACCACTCCACACACCCTACTTCTTCGGTGCACTTCCTTCCCTGGGGAAAGAAAGCCCTGGACTAGTCCTCAGATCTAGCTCATAATAAACTCACCCCAATTTTGATTTATAGATTAATTACAGATTTGATCGACACTTGCAATGGTTTCAAAACACTCCAAAATCTGGATCCTACCCACCTCTCTAGCCTCACTGTGCACTATTTCATCCTGCCTCCCCACACACCCCACACCACCACAATCAACCATCCTCTGTGCCTTTACACTTGCTCTTCTTTCTTTCTCACTGAAGTGGGCTTTCCAGTTCTCTTCACCACAGAACATCTCCTTTATCAATTAAGATCCAACTAAAATACTACTTCCTCCATGAAACTCTATGCCCTTGCACCCCTATTTTGCCAATGCACCTGCCCAACAAAACTAATCCTGAATCAACGCCACAATCTTCCTTCATAACTCTTAAGGCCAGTGAATTGAGTACAACTGAAGAAAATCACAGAATCTTGGCACAATCACAAAGACGTGATCTTCACCCTTAGCTGGGTTTCAGCATTTCTCTAACACCTGTGTTCCCAATTTAATTTGTCAGCTCCCTCTTTTGTTCTCAATGACCATTTCCAATTTTACTATTTTTCACATTTCTCCATTCAACTCCTTGATCCTCCATCTCCCAAGAAATAACCTTGACTCATTAATTACCTAGAAAACAGGCCCTCAGGCAGCTACCTCAAACCCATCCTAACTCTCCTTTGCCCATTCTCCCCTTCTATTGAAAGGCCAACACTTCCCATTGTGCCCTTATATCCATTCTCCTCTTCCCTTCAGCCCATAAACAGAAAACTGTCTTCAAGGGGGAAAGATCCCCTCCCTTGACCCTGGGTCCCCCCAAACTGTTAACCAACCTCTTACTTTCCCTTCTTAAGTTCTAGTCCAGTCTATCTCCCCTTCCTCATTTTCCACTGACCACTAAACCAAGCAATCTGGCTTGCCCCCTAAAACTACACAACAATTGTAGTACAATTCCTAAAACTTTACCTTCCTGATTTCTATGGCCTTACATCCTTCCTCACACCCTTCTGACACTCGCCTATCTTCTTCATGACCTCCTCTTTTCTCACTTCTCCTTAAAACCAATGCTTCCAAGCATGTATATTTGGCCCACCGCTCTTCGATGACATGCTTGCTCTGAATAATTTTATTTTCCCTCCTAGTGTTCATATGCAGAAGACTTCCAAACATTTACTACCAGCTCAGACCGCTCCATCACACTCTATGCATACTCATAAATTCAGTGCCTCCTGGTCATCTCCATTTGATGACACACAAGCACACCAAATTCAGCATAACCAAAATTTAAATCTTACTTACATCTGCCTGTGCTCCGTATTTTAAATGCAGACACCCTTATATCTACCCCAGGAGTCATCCTTGACTGGTCCCTCTTCCCCCCACATTCAATCAGTCATCAAGCCCTGACGATTTTACCACCTAAACATTTTCCCAGTCTATCCCATCTTTACCCCTTGCCCTAGTCCAGGCCTTCTTAATCTATTAAGAAGACTCTTCCAACAGACCCCCAACTGGTCTCTGACTCTAGTCTTATTCCTCTCAAATTCATCCTCCATATTGCCAAAGTGGTTTTTTCTCCTTAAATCTGATTCTGTCACTTTCTTACTTAGCTCTTCAATAAATTCCCCTTCCAAGCTCCAGGGTATTCCAGGCTTTGCATTTGCTGGCCCCTAGCCACCTCTCCTGCTCTCTTCTCGTCACTCTCCGTCACACACTTGGTAATCCGGTAATAATGAATTGCTTGTAATTCTAATTTACCCCTTTCCCTCTCCTCGGCCTGGCTAACTCCTACTCATCCTTTAGCTTACAGTTCAAGCGTTACCCTCACGCAAGCCATCTTAAGGCCAGCATCCCCGCCACCCCTCAGGTGGACTAGATTCTCCTCTATAGGCCCTGATACTTCCCTGCGCATCTATCACTGCACTTACTAACGTCATTTCATAACGCTGGTTTTTGCATCGGCTCACCCCTTAGCCTAAATGGTAAGCTCCTTGAAAACAGAAAATATCTTTGTCATCGTTATATCCCCAGAGTCTGGCACATTCGATCAGGTACTCTGAAAATGTTTCTTGAATGAATAAATAAAACGCTTATCCCAGCTTCTCCATCCTGTAACCCCTACCACCCACCACCACTCCGCCCCGCCCCCTCACGGAACCAGTCCCGCATATCTGACACTTGTAACCCTGCCTGAGCATCTCTGTCGGCTGTCCCTACTCTCCGCTACACGAAGGGCTCCTGGAGGGAGGGGACCGGTCACATGCACCCGCCTGCCTCAGTACCTGGCTCACGGTGAGGAATGAATGAAAAAGCTTAGCAAGGCCGAGCGAGGCCGTCTCCGACTGCTCTCTCACACACCGTCCGCCGAGCTCCCACCCGTCCCGGGGGCCGAGGACTGGGGACGCTTGACCTCCCGATATCACCCCCAGGAACCCTGCGTGCTCGGGCGGGGCGGAAGCCCCCACCACATACGAACCCCCCTCCCCGCACCGTTCTCCCTCGTCGGAGGCTGAGGAGGGCGCGGCGCGCTCACCGGCAGGCGGAACTCCAGGTGCTCTTGCGCCATGAGCAGCAGATACCTGTTCAGGGGGCCAGGCAGCGCCATAGCAGCCGCCCGCGGTGCGCCTGCGCGGCCCGCGCTGCGACCCGCCCCTTCTCCCCACGCAAAGCCGTTTCCGCTGAGGCGGAGCCTGAGGGCCGGAAGCGGAAGCGCGGCGAGGTGGGCGCTGTCCCGCGCTTCCTAGCGCGCGGACTTTGAACCCGGCCATTCTTGGAGGGGTTGGCTGGGCTGCGCGGCGCTTTCTGGTTGAGGTTCTGAAGTGCCAGTGGCTGGTGTGAGGGGCCGCGCTGTGGATAAGACAGGGCCTTTCCTAGTGGTCCTCCCACCTGGAACGTCCTCCCACCTTTCTCTACAACTCTTAAAATCCCACTTCTTCAGCACTGGACTGAAATTTCACCTTTTCTGGGCAGACTTCTCCGACCGCTCCAGACTTTGGGGACTGCCTTATCTGGGCCACTCATTTAACGTTTAGTATGCTTTTTGTATTTTTCCAATAACTTTTCAAGGATGCACGCCTTATGAGCCAATTAGGATAAGCTCTTGAGGACCGAGATCATCTCTCTTGATTCGTACTCTACCTCACAGAAAACAAAACCATGTGCTCCTCAAAGTACTCAATATCAGGTTGAGATGCTAGACTCACATGACCAATCCTCAGCCGAGTGTATACTAAAACAATGATGAAAGTTGCTTCTAACTATTAACCCTGGCACAGATTTCAGAGTGGCACATAAAATAAGTAGCGTATTCGTAAATTTTAATTAGCATATTCTGTGTATATGTATTGTTGCTTTGAGAGTACTGAATCGTTTGCATTATTGAAAGCTATTTCTTTTGCATTTCAGCGTAGTATTGATTCAAATTTCAGTTCCACTACTTACCACCTACATGCTCTTAAGCAATTTCTTAGCCTCCCTTAGCCTGTTTTATCTAAAATGGAATAATTCTGCCTCCCTCAAGGGAGGATACAATTACAACTGTTGCAATTACAATTAAGTGGTATAACGTACATAAAGTGTTTAATGTAACACCTAGCATATTGTGTGGGGCCAATAAATGGCATTTGAGACTTTTCTTCTCTTAAAACATATGAGAATTCCTCCTAGCAAGCAATCTGCCTTTCTTGGGAAAACGTCTTGATAATTCTACCTGCGGTAAATGAATCTGAGGTGCATAGATGTCTCTTGGCCCCAGGGCTTCAGAGAAGGGGAGAAAAGTACTCTGGCATATGAAAAGGAAATCGCTTCCTCCTTGAGCAGAGAGGCCCAGGTGGGACAGAGAACCAATGGAATGGTAGCGGAAGGATGTGCAGCACATGATATGCCCCATCCCCAAAACTTGTCAGAATTACCAAACACCTGAGATTTTGATCAGGCAACTTTTTAGGGGATATCAAAGGGGTGCTGATTTTCATGCTAGGGTTAATATGATGCTGTGCAGAGACAGCAAATGAGATTACAGGGCGTAGGAGAACCCAGATGAATTCAAGTTTCACTGATTTTTCACATGGGATCCTTTGAGCTAAGGTTCATGACTAAAGCCCCACTAATTCTCTGCTCCAGGAATGAGCAGGACAGCATCTATGTCATGAATCTCAAACTGGGGGATACATGGTCCGGGGAAGTAGAAAGTAACCCTGCATCGGCCATTAAGGTTAGTGTGGAACTACTCAGTTCAATTAAACCTTTGAGGGACTCACAGCCAGACCTGTTCAATGTTTTGAGCTTACAAGAGTAGTTAAGGAGCAGCAAGAGAGTACAGACTTTGGAAATTGGTGTTCAAATTAGCATCGAGAGACTTGCAATTTTTTTTTTTTAATTTGTACTGGAAGGGGCAAGGAGATTCACAGTCTGTCTTCTAGGAACTGACCCAAAGCTCCGTCTGTGCTTCATCCACCAGGGCAGGCATCTTAGAGACTCAGCTCCTCCTGTGAGATTACTATTGTGCAAGCATTGGAGCCTCTGGTATAGGCTGCTGATTATTAAAAAACCGGAAGCATTCCTGGGAAGTGAGGACCAGGAACTGGAGAGGAGAATTTTGAGTTCTGGTTATAATAGGCCACTACAGTGTTGAGACTAGTAGGACATAGAATCAGTGAAGAAAGGAAATGAGTAGAGAGTTAACAGGTCCCAGCAGCAGAGGGAATGTGTAATGTCAAAACTGCCATACATGTGTCTCAGGCTGAGCATCCAACACTTGAAAAGGGATTGAGTATCATCCAGAACCATAGAGATTTGTGTACCAATGAGAGGGAGAAAAGTTCTCTTCATATGTATTAAGACGATTTTTGCAATGAGTAAAGAACAAGGGGCTTTTGAACAGTTTGGAGAATAAAGTTTTATTGGGACAAGTTATATAAGAACTATGGAAACTTCACTATAGTGAAGCATTGCTGAGGGAGTTCTAATTCCATGAAATGCCAGAAGGGTCTCCAGTATCTTGAATCTTAATGAAGATAATTCAGGAAGCGAAGGGAGAAGTAACACAGGGTGCCCTCTGGAAACAAAACTGAACAAGTTGGGACTTTGAGGCACCAGCTCAAATTTAAGCAGCTGCAGTTAATTTAAGTATTACTCAATACCTCGAGGTCGAATTTTGAAAAAGCAAGGTCTCCCAAAGTGGAGAAAAGATCTTGTCCTCTGGTCAAAAGACTACCCAGAACGAACCTGAAGTCCTAGTTGCAAACTAGCACCACTAAGTTGCCACCTGTGAAGCAGGTTCTGTGCAAAGAAAAAATGTGAAGGAAAACAGGATGGAGATTCAGCCTTCTCTCCTGGTCATCCTTAAACTCTAATGATGCCACAATTCAAATAATCAAGGGCCATACATTTCCAGGCAGATGTAAGACAGTAGGCTGATTGAGCTAGGCTAGAGGAAAACAACTCTTCCCCATTTCTCAGCAACTGGCTGAAATAGAAACAGTTTCCAAAAGGAGCCTAACCTAGGGCATGCCAAAATTAGGGATGCCTTCACTCTTTCCTTGGGCCAGTCCTTAATTGGATTCTTTTGTTTGCAATGAGATCGAGATTGCAAGACACCAAAAAAGGTTTCACTCTACTTTTACTCCACTCCAAATACAAGGCCAAACAAAACCTGGATATTATCCACACTGTTCCAGGCTTCAGCTTTGTATCTTAGGGAGCATTATACACGTTTGGATGGGATCCCATTTATTACTTACTTGTCTTGGGCAGAACTTGTGAACCAGGGTTGATATAAGTTCATAGCACATTTGCATCATTTTAGCCAGGTCTTTTTGTCCTTCCTCCCTGCCTCCTTCCCACTTTCCTGCTCCCTGTCCTAAAATATAAGAAGCAAACATGATTTCTCAACAAAGAAAGGCTTTTAGCAAGTAATTTGCAAATATGAAGTCTCAAAGTAGGTGTGCAGCTTACCTTCTAGGAAAGGACACAGAGCTTCTTGTTTAAGCACAGTTCCAAGAAATTACCATCTCTTGATCCTATTTGTTCCCCATGAGTAGGAAAATTATTATATATAGTATCAATGATCTCAGGTCCCATAAAAGGGATTTTCTTGAGAGTCTACTATAAGAGGCCTGAAAGAGGAGTTTTATTCAATTCCATAGGGCATAGGTTCTCAAATTGAGCTGCACATTGGAATTACCTGAGGAGTTTTTAAAAATACAAGGCTTGGAATCTATCCCCAGGGATTCAAATTTAATTTATCTGAGGTGTGACCTGAACATAGATGTTTTTAAAAGCTCCTCAGTTGTTGATTTTAATGTGCAGACGCCAGCAGCATCAGTATCACCTGGGAACCATTTAGAAATGCAAAATCCTGCCCCATCCCCAAACCTGCTGAATCAGAAACTCACGTGTGGGACCCCGCAGTGTGTTTTAAACAAGCCCACCAGGTGGTTCTGATGCACACTGAGGTTTGAGAATCACTACCTGGGAGAGGGGGATGGATGGATGGGCTCTGAGTCCCAGATACCACAAATAAATAGCATGTTTTGCCTTCTTACCCAGCTTTGGGGAGAAAATTTATGTGATAAATTTGCAAAATGCTGCAAATATTTTTCTCAGCAGAAGATGTAACAAGAACAACCCTGTCTAACCAGCTAGATTGAGAATCTTGAATCTCATTAGCTGAGAAAATATCTAGAATAGCCAACTTAAGTAAGGTGATTTCCTGTGGGTCAGGCATGTTGGTTAGAACCACGACTTTAGAGAAATTGTAGAAAATTCTAATGCAAAAAGAAATGTGTCCCAAAGGCAAGGAGAGAAGTTGAGGGAAAGTCAGCAAGGTGGCAGTAGCTAGATGACACTTTCCCATTGCCCTGCAAAAGTTTAGTTATGCAATGCTTGGTGTGGATGGATTTTTTGAAATCAAAGAGATTTCATACCTGAGTTATATTGGTCATGGATACTGCCATGAAGGACATAAGATCAGGGGGATCCAGCTGACATCTAAGTTATACTCTTTGATTTTGGGATTGAAAGTTGCCTGAAATTAGGGTTATCATGCAGTGCTCAATCAAATTTTGTTATGTTACCGTAACATTCGAAGGGGCTCAGTTAATACAATATTTACTGACCAGTAACATGAATGAGTCGTTGGGCAAAGGCAATGGGGATACAAAGCTAAATAAAAAATGAGATCTTCCAGCTCTAAAGCATTCTAAATCCAGTAGCAAGAGATACCCCGTTATTTCCTGGCTAGACTGTGTAAGGCCTATGCTAGGAAAATAAAATGTCATGGGTCAGAGCTGAAGAAACACTAAATATTGCCATGGGTAGGGATGGGAAGTCAGAGAAAACTTCCAAGAGGAAGTAACATTTTAAACTGGCTTTAAAGCTAAACAGATTTTCAAAGGTGTGCTCAGTTGCGTTGGAATAGTAAAAATGGCTGACATATGGGGTATCAATGCAGGAAATAAAGCTGGAAGGACTGATGAATAATTTTGAGGGTAAATGGTGAGGTTTTCATAAGAAAATTGCATGATCAGGTCAGTAATTAGAAAGAACTCTGATGGAGGCTGTGTGAGAAAGGAAGCAACTGAAGGCATGGGGCCCAGGCAAGAGATTCTAGCAGTATTCAAGGCAAGAGAGGATATGTCTGAAAAGGCGGAGACACTGGGTACTGAGAGGAATGAACTGATTTTTGTTTCAGGTCCCTCCAAGGAAACGTCCTGGTGCCAAAACTTTTTGTGTCTGAGGGCAAAGTGCTTGGGAACTGTGAGCTTGAGAGAACACTCAGGCATCCGTGTTCTGTTTATTGAATGTATACATGCATTGAGAATAGACTGTAGAGTGGGTAAGGACAAAAGGTGGGAGATAGTGTGGAGGCTAACTGCCGTAATCTAGACACATGATGATGAGAACATGGCCAAGATCACAGTTCAGGTGGTGGGAAGTGGTCAAATTCTGAATATATTTTCAAGGTACTACTGATAGGGTTTGCAAATGGGTTAGACATGAAGTGTGAGATACAGGAATCAAGGATGACTGCAAGATTTTTAGCCTGAGCAATTCAAAGCTTACAGTTGCCATTAACAAAGATCGGGAAGACTGAGAGGAATGGGGAGAGAAGAGGACACGTTTTAAGTCTGAGACGCCTGTTTTACGTCAACAGAAAATACAATACATTTACCCGAAAGATATTTGACTTCAGGACTGGTTTAATTAATGGATTATTGTTGACTGTGGATCTATCTCTACCTCTGTGGCTTTAAATAACTAATCATACAATGAGGATCTGATTCTTCTTAATCAAAGGTAGACCTAGACATTTTAATTAAGTTTATTTAAGCTGAATCAGAGATCTCTTTTTTGTATTTATATTGCTAGAATACAAGCTGATCCATAAGCAGATAAATCAACAGGTATCAGCTTCATTTTAGTGACTTGGAGTAGTGGGCACTTAATGAAAATGTAGGCATCAACTTTTATTGATGACTTCTTGACATCAGTATCTAGAAATGTATAAGATGCTGCAATAATAAAGACTGTGCTCTTGACTTTGGGTTCTTATGAAAGAAGAGGTATGTCTCCATTTCTGACAGCAAACCTTTCATATATTAGGATCAGCCAATTTACTAAACATCTTTGATTTGAAACTTTGTTTTTAGTACAGTAATGCATCACTTTACAACAGGGATACGTTCTGAGAAATGCACCATTAGGCAATTTCATCATTGAGTGTACTTACACAAACCTAAATGATATAGCCTACTACACACCTAGGCTACAGGGTACTAACCTTATGAGACCACCGTCATATATGCAGTCCATCATTGACCCCAACATCGTTATGCGGTGCATGTCTGTAATATTAAAAAAGTCTAGATGACCAACTGGGATTTATCCCAAGTATGCGAGCTTGGTCCAACATTTGAAAATCAATTAAGGTAATGTAAACATCAACAGGCTGAAAAAGAAAAATCACGTGATCATCAATAGATGCAGAAAAAGCATTTGACCAAATCCACAATCCATTTATGATAAAAATTCTCAGTAAACTAGGACTAGAAAGGAACTTTCTCAACTGTGATAAAGAAAACCTATAGCTAACATATTTAATGATGAGAAACACAAAGCTTTCCACTAAGATTAGGTACAAGGCAAGGATGTCCCCTCTCACCACTCCTTTTCAACATTATACTGGAAAGTTTCGCTAATGCAATAAGACAATAAAAGGAAAGAAAATATACACAAATTGGGAAGAAAGACATGAATCTGTCTTTGTTCGCATATGACATGATCATCTACGTAGAAAATCTGAATCAATTAAAAAAACTACTGAAACTAATAAGCAATTATAGCCAGGTTGCAGGATATAAAGTTAATATGCAGAAGTCAATTGCTTTCCTATATACCAGCAATGAACAAGTGGAATATGAAATAAAAAACACAATAGCATTTACATTAGCAAACCCCAAAATGAAATACTTAAGTAAAAATCTCACAAAATATGTATAAGATCTACACAAGGAAAACTACAAAACTCTGATTTAAAAAAAATCAAATAACTAAATTAATGGAGAGATATTCCATGTTCACAGATAGGAAAGCTCAATATTGTTAAGATGTCAGTTCTTCCCAACTTGATCTATAAACTGAATGCAATCCCAATCAAAAGCCCAGTAAGTTATTTTGTAGATATTGACAAATTGATCTTAAAATTTATATGCAAAGGCAAAAGATCCAGAATAGCCAACACAACACTGAAGAAGAACAAGGTTGGAGGACTCACTACCTGACTCCAAGACTTATTACTACACAGCTTACAGGAATCAAGACAGCGGTAGTGGCAAAAGAACAGACAGATCAATGGAGCAGAATAGAGAGCCCAGAAATAGACCCATATAAATACAGTCAACTGATCTTTGACAAAGGAGCAAAGGCAACACAATATAGCTTTTTCAATGGTGCTGGAACAATTGGACATCCACCTGCAAAGATTTGAATCTACACACAGACCTTACAACCTTCACAAAAACTAACTCAAAATGAATCATAGGCCTAAATGTGACATTCAAAACTTAAAACTCCTAGAAGATAATAGGGGAAAACCTTTATGACCTTGGGTATGGCAATGACTTTTTAGATAAAACACCAAAGGCACAATCCATCAAGGAAATAAGTGATAAGCTGGATCTCATTAAAATTAGAAACTACTGCTCTGTGAAAGACAATATCAAGAGAATGAGAAGACAAGCCACAGACTAGGAGAAAGTATCTGCAAAAGACACATCTGATAATGGAGTGTTATCCAAAATATACAATAAGCTCTTAAAACTCAACAATAAAAAAACAAACAAGTCCATTAAAAAATGGCCAATGATGTTAACAGACACTACAACAGATGGCAAATAAGCATATGAAAAGATGCTCTATAAGCATATGATAAGATGCTCTATATTATATGTCATCAGGGAAATGCAAATTAAAACAAGATACCACTACACCTATTAGAATGGCCAAAATCCCCAACACTGATAACACCAAATTCTAGCAAGGATGTGGAGCAACAGGAATTCTCATTCATTTTACTGGTGGGAATGAAAAATACTACAGCCACTTTGGAAGGCAGTTTGGCAGTTTTTTACAAAACTAAACATACGCTTACCATATGATCCAGGAATTGTGCTCTTTGGTATTTACCCAAAGGAGGTGAAAACTTATGTCCACACAAAAACCTGCATACGGAGTTTATAGCAGCTTTATTCATAATTGCCAAAACTTGGAAGTAACCAGGATCCTTCAGTAGGTGAATGGATGAACTGTGGTGCCTGCAGACAATGGAGTATTATTCAGCACTAAAAAGAGATGAGCCATCAAGCCATGAAAAGACATGGAGGAGCCTTAAATGTCTATTACCAAGTGAAAGGAGCCAATCTGCAAAGGCTATAAACTGTATGATTCCAACCATATGACATTGTGGAAAAGGCAAAACTATACAGACAATAAAAAGATCAGCGGTTGCCAGGGTTTGGAGACAGAGGGATGAATACACAGAGCACAGAGGATTTTTAGGGCAGTGAAAATACTCTATGATACTATAATGATGGATATATATTATTACATATTTGTCCAAACCAATAGAAAACACAACACCAAGAATGAACTTAGACTGCGGACTTTGGGTGATAATGATGCAATAGGTTCATCAGTATAACAAATGTATCACTTTGGTGGGGGATGTTGATAATGGGGAGGCTCTGCATGTATAAGGGCAGGGGATATATAGGAAACCTCTGTACCTTCCTCTCAATTTTGCTGTGAACCTAAAACTGCTCTAAAAAAAATAGTCTTAAAAAAACAAAAAAAGTCCGCAGAGGCAAAATTTGACACAGTATTTTTCCATATTTATTTAGCTTTCTTTTAGTTAAGTAAGCATAGTTTGACATATCTCATTATTAATAATTTTACAATTCTGCAATTACAAACAAATAGTATCACAACATGCATAAATAATGCTCTCAATACTACTTTAAACATTTTTAAGACAGACTATGAATTAGCTTTGTGATGAACTAACGTTATAGATAGCTAGAGTTACCAAATACTTAAACTACTGAAAAGGCTGAGTGAATTTCAATTGTAGTAGTTTAATTATTAATCTTTAGATATAAAAGAACTGCTACTAAAAATGTGAGGATCCAAGGATTTTCCAACAAGAAGAAAAACTTACTATGAGAGGGGATAAACCTATATTAATTAAATCAATTGGCTAATCACATTTTTTAAGAAGTCCATCAAGCAATTGAGAATTCCTTAAATACCTTACATGTTATTACCATAATATTGTCAATCACATCACTGCAAGTTCACATAGTACAACATGTTGCACATGCTGAAAATTCCTTTTCTGAAGCTGGTCATATTTGAACTGATTTATAAAAACTTGTACCTGCTTATCTGTGGAGGTGCTCAGTGATCTACTTAACAAAGCAGTGCTGAAAAACTTGTAAATCTAATTTTGAGAGCCCATAACCCCTACTTCCAAATCCCTCTCTCCACTTTCAGTGAATAAAATGGAATTTAGACATTCATTTCTATTGTTAAGTAAAAACTAACGGAAGCAGAACTTGAGGAGAGTACATGTGGGTCTCTTCTTGCCCCATCTTCCACTGTCTACCTGCCTAACACTGAGTCTTGAATACTCAGCTCTTCTGCCACCTGCTCTCAAGTGTTTCCCTCTCCACAGCCTCTTCTCTGGACATTATAACCCTTAACACACTAAACTGTATTCACCGGTTTTGTGTGAGTCTTGTATTAGCAATTGAAGGCAGGCTGTCCTTTCTCACTTCTGTATTTCCTGATCCTGGCAGTGTCTGTTAGATGCTAAATGCTCAGTAAATGTCTGCTGAATAAATAAATGAACAAGTAAACTAAACAATAGTGATTCCAGATGTTATAACTAAACATTGTAATAAGTATTTCATTACTTAAAATTATGTTTAATATCATGCCCCCCCAAAAAGAAAGAAAACCAGTCATCTCAGCCTGTTTCCAACATCAATACTTTAATCCTTAGGTTCATTTATATTCATGTACGTGGTACTATTACACACTGGCACAATATACAATTAGCTTTCACCACCTACTCATCATTTGCATTCACTATTGTTAGTGTAAATTAGCATCAAAAGACAATTCCTAAAGAAATATGTCTCATGAAATGATCTATCAATAATATTAGCATTGCGTTATTAAAACAAATTTTCTCATCCAAGTCTATCTATCTCTACTTCCAAATCAGGACCTTTTTATTAGAAAAGCTAGGTCTAACCAATTTTTAATTCTAACTTTCCTTTGGTACAATAAACAAGCCATAAAGCAACAGTTTCCACCAGTTTTAATACATTAATATAACCACTTTATGTTTCTTCCTATTTATGTTCTTACAAATAAAACTCCATTGCAGTGAATTCTCCTGAATAGCCAAATTGATTGTTATTGCAAATTCACTGTTAGAATTTATTTTATATATATTATATAGCTTTCAGGATCAATTTATTACAAAGATGCAAGGCTTCAAGAAGTGAAAAGCATCTGAAATCTCAGTAAAAAGTGACACATACACAATTCTTTCCATCAACAAGATCAGAGATCACTGTGTAGTACGGAACTCTTTATTTTGAAATTTTATGTGTAAAATTATGGAACTGTCAAGAAGTAGTATTTCTTTTTCTCCTTCACAGTAATAAAACCTCCAACAAAGTATTTTCCATACTGGCTTATTATTCATAAAGAAATCACGATTATAATTGACTACTGAGAAATGAAAATATTTGTACTTTTTTTTTAATTCAGAGCACTTCCTGATTAACAAAATTTGTTTTAAAGGGATTTTATCTATAGTACCTTATACCTTAGACAAATAACCATTAAAACAAAGAAGTCAATGACAAAGTATTCACGTAACTATATTACAGATCTCAAGAAATAGACATTGAGAAAAGATTTAAGGCTACCCAGTGATAGCCTCTCATAAAACCCAAGAAACCTCAGAACTATAATTAGACTTCAAAGGGACCAAAATAGTAGTTTCTGTTGAGCCAAAATCAGGAAAATCTTCCACTGTTGACATTTTCATGTTCTTAATTTTTCAATCAAATAATCAGCCTGTAATTAAAAAATATATAACATACTTTTTATTCTAGTAATCATAACCTGTATGAAATAATTCTACTGGCATTTCTATTATAATAAGCCACAGCAGAAGAGCTAGATACTAAGGATTTTGTTCCTAAAAATATCTTGCAAAAAAACTCTCAATGTAACAGTTTTATAAACTGTAGTAAAGGTATTATTCTAGATTGTATATAAATAAGCAGATTTTTATCCATATTACATATTCATTAAAAAGTTTCAATAAGAGAAGGAAAATAAATGTAATACTATAGCTTTAAAAAGTACACTAGACACGGAGGAACCTTACATGCATATTACTAAGTGAAAGAAGCCAATCTGAAAGGCTATATACTGTATGATTCCAACTATATGATATGCTGGAAAAGGAAAAACTGTAGAGACATTAAAAAGATCAGTGGGTACCAGGGATTAAGTGGGAGGGATATTTGAAAAGGCAGAACACAGGATTTTTAGGGCAATGAAACTATTCTGTATGATACTATAATGGTAGATATATGACATTATACTTTTGTCCAAACCTATAATAGAATGTACAATAGTAAGAATGAACCCTAATGTGAACTATGGACTTTGGGTGATAATGATGTGTCAGTGTAGTTTCATGGATTGTGACAAATGTATCACTGTGCTGGAGAATGTTGACAGTGACAGAGATTTTAAGTATGTGGGGACAGAGGTGTATGGGAACTCTGTGTCCTTTCCATTCAGTTCTGCTGTGAACCTAAAACTACTCTAAAAAATAAAATCTATTAAATAAATAAAAAGTAAACTAAAGTCTTCTAGTTATATTATTTCAGATACTTTTCTCAATCATCTTATGTATCTGGAACATTATATAAGAGATTTTGGAATAAACTTTAGTATCTTTATCTTGATTTTTTTCAAAGTCTCATAATATATACTGACAAAGTCCCACATTTAAGAAGAGTTCAGATTCCTAGGGTGAACCTTCAACAGATCTTATAACTTTGTTCATTCAGTTTTTTTCTAACTGAAAACTCATGTAAGGAAATACAGTTTAAAACATTACAAAAATATATTTTTAATTACTTTTTTATTACAAAAGCATGGATCATGTAGAAAACTGGAAATACAAGTAAGAAAAAAATCCCTTTTTTATCACACTGATTTTTTAAAGAGACCCTTCTAGCTGTCCTGCAGGATGTCCCACTTGTTTATTTCAAATAAACACACACACACATATATATATCTTAAATATATTTTTTAATTAAATAAAATCATCTGGACAACAAGTGGAAGAAAAGGAAATAAGTTTGAAATATGAAGTTTCTAGAAATCAGATGCTTTTTAATTTGTGTACTGTAGCTATAATAATATATATTAATTAATGATAATTATTTAACTTGTAACTTGATGATCATTCAGATAGCAACTACAGGTTACCTTATCATCAAGGACACATGAAATAAGAGACTGGTAAATTACTAGTCAAGTGGCCCTGGAAGGACAGAGCCACTTAATAACTAAAGCTTGACTGTCAGGCCACAAACCTATAATCAGATGAATTCTATGCTACTTTTGCCCTAGCAAAGCAGAATTCTGCAATTTTTTAGGCTTAAAGCTTCAGGCTCAGCTCTGGTGGTTAATGCTTCTACTGCAGCCCTTTTCTAAGGAGTTCAAACTGACTACCAAAAATTACAAAACCTCAGTTTCTACAATGACGTTGGTGATGATGACAAAGCCAACAGGTAACATTTACCAACACTTACTATACGCAAAGTATAGTTCTAAGTGCTTTTCATGTAAATTATTTCATCAATCCTCTTAATCCTAGAGGTAGGCACTATTACTTATATGCAGGTAATAAAGAACTGGGGCCTTAAAAAGTTTAAGTAACTTGCACATGGTCCCTCAAGTAACTAACAGAGCCAGAATTTGAATCCAGATCTGACTCGGGATTCTGAATTATTAATGCCATGGTGCTTCTATATCCTATCCTCTGCTTGCAATGGAGAGACTTAGCCATAGTTTCTCTTCCTACAGATCTGATGACCTAGAAAATCCCCCAGATTAAAAATATTATTTTGGATATGTACAAGCAGTATGTTAGATGATCAAGTCTATGAGAGCTCTAAGTGCCTACTGTTGCCAAGAAAAGGAAAACTACAACAAAAGGATAAATATTTTTATATGCTGCTATTATAACAATAATACTTACTGTGATAAACCAATAGGAATTCACTCTATAAACCAATTTTGATAAGAAGCTAAGCTGATCGGCTGGTGCCATCACATGAAGGTGCAAGTGGTTAATGGAACAGAATGGCGGCATATGGAAACCCATTCTAAAACAGAAAAGTAAGAGATAATTGACAAATGAGTTCCACAATTGCTTAAAGCTATTTTTTCAGGTTAAAACACATAAATATTAAAGATATACAAAACAGGTTACCTAAGGTAGACAGATTACCACTCAAACATCTCTTTTACTGTTTCTCTTTATATATTTCAGAATATTCACAAAGTTCCTCTTCTTTTCATGTGGAAGTTCACAGTAACATAAACTCTTCATCAAGGAAGGCCTTAATCGCATATTATGCCTCAGTGTAACTTGTAGGAATTCTGAGTTGGCATTATGTCTTATCACTTCAGTCCTTAGCATATTAAGCTTTAATTCTCCTAAGATATGCCTCTGCAATGAATCTTAAAAAAAGAAAAACTACTGGAGCCAGCCCTGATGGCCTAGTGGTTAAAGTTTGGTACGCTCCACTTTGGCGGCCCAGGTTCAGTTCCCAGGCGTGAAAGTACAGCACTTGTCTGTCAGTAGCCATGCTGTGGCAGTGACTCACATAGAAGATCCAGGTGAACTTACAACTATATACAACTACACACTGGGGCTTTGAGGGGGAAAACAGGAGACAGACTGGCAACAGATGTTAGCTTAGGGTGACTCTTCCTGTGCAAAAAAACACAAGGCTTAATCAAGCCAAATAATTAAAAAAAAAAAATTACTGGACACTCAAGTAGAAGAAGGGTTTCTTTATTCTAAGACATAGCCAGGAGATGGCATGCTTTCTCCTTCAATAAAGTAGTCAATCATTTCCTTACAAATATTTCAGTAGTGAAATTAATTACACCATCATTAAAAAAAATTTATCATCACTTAAGTTTCCTGTTTAATACTGAAAATAAGTTAGATGATAATTATTCATAATTATTTGCTTTCTACATTTATAAAAGAGTTCCTTTGACTAGTAAAATAAATTTTTTTAATATGATTTAACCTCTTAAAAATCATTTTAGAGTTTCCTAAGTCCACTGATTCTGAGTGGAGCAGGACACACCTGTAACAATAATCCAAGCCTAGAAATATCCGCCTGTTCTAACTAGAACTAAGTCTCAATTAAAAGAGAAAAATTACTAGAAGTGAGCGGGAGTATGGGAAGAAGGCACGGGAGAAGTGCTATACTGCAGGAATACAGGACGGACAAGGGGGAGTCAGATACACAACACATATGGAAAAGCTTCCAGTGCTACCTAGAAAAGGAGACGAGGTTTTCCCTCTGTGAAACAGGAGTCATATAATGCAGAATCTAGTAATCTAAAAGCTAGAAGCACTTCAGGGGTTCACTCAACCCTTTCACTTTAAAAACAGGGAAGCCAAGATCCAGAAAGTTTAAGAGCCTTCTCAAGGTCACAAAGTTAGGCAATGGTAGAGCTAGGATTGAGGCTCAGGGCTCTTGACTCCTAGTCCAATGCTCATTCTCCTCATAAGCACTCCTACGACTGGGAAGCGAATGTGCTGCTTTTGGGAAAAGGGTCTCAGATACCATCTGTTCCTTGTCATTATCCCCTTGGATAGTGCTTAACAGTTTTCAGAGAATTTTCACACACAATCTCATTTGAGCCTACAGGTAGGCAGAGCAGGTATTATCTTGAGAGGTTAAACGACTAGTCTGAAGTAACACAGCCAGTACAAGTACAGTGCACAGCAAGTAGTATGGATAGCATTAGAATTCAGACCTCTCTGAATTCCAGTTCAGAGGTGTTAGAAGTAATCTACACTACAGCTGCCTTGGCTCTGCTTTGGACACACAAGGCGAAATCAGAAGTCTTTTAAAAAGAAAAAACAACTATTAAGATTAATTAAAGCAGTTGCCAAATTGAACATGACGTGCTTTTGCTCAAACTTTGGCAAATACTAGAATTCAGTTCAGCAGGCAATGAATTCAAATTAATGTCATACTACAAGTGTAATAATACATTTTTAAATCACATAAAATTTTTTGTAAGGAAATTCAATTCATACACTATTTTATAGGAATGCACATATGGAACAAAAATAAGTAGACTTGTAACCCACTGCTTGAATATAATGTATAACTGGTGATTATTAGAAAATGAGACATGAGAGGAAGAGGTTTGTTTATTTAATTTATACTACTAATGAACTGTATGCTCATGTTCAGAAAAACTGCATTTAAACCATGAACTCTGCCATCTCTGCTTTCATTTTCCAGGAGGAAACAACATTTCAGAAAAACTAAATGCATATATTGGTTTCTATCTGGAAGTACACATACCTCACATTTTTGAAGTCAGTGAAATTATTCCTTTCAAGAACGGTTTTTCCAGCATTTACCATGTTCTCAACTATAAAATAGGAAAGAAACTACATTACAATATAGGAGACATTAAGTTCACTAAGTTGTTATTAATCTTAACTTTTAGGGTCCTAGTCAAAAGTTATATCAAATGGGTAAACATTTAAAGATACATTCAACAGCTCTAAGTTACTGAGAAATCTGCTTATCAACAACTGAACTGAAGGTTCACCCTATCACAAAATATCACCCAGAGGCTGACTTTGAACAGCTGTAGAAGGGTATTATCAAGTGATCCTTTAGGACTTATGATCCTACTGAGGTCTACTTCTAATCATAAGGAGACTAAGTAATTAAAAAAAAACTTGTTTGAATTAAGAAGACAGGAAAACTTTGAATTTGTCTTTGAGCCCAAATTACGGATATGATATCCCTTCATGCCAGCCTAGCCTTGACTAGCTAAATGTTTGTATACTTGTTTTGGCTTCCAAACTCTAATCTGCCTTAGCATCTTTACTGTCTCGGTGCTTCAGGGCCTGCTGATGGGAATATGCTTCCCCATTAGAAAAATTTTGATACCCTGGGATCTTCAAAGCACAACGTCAAACTTTAGACCTCTTTTGTTTCTGAATGGTGAAATCAAGTGTTTGAAAGGGGAAGAAATGAGAGACTCTACAGAGGACAATTGTTACAACAAGACATAAAATCATTGCTAATGTTTACCTCTCTAAGTCAGGCCTGAGCAGGGAGGCTCCCAGACTTCCATGACAAGGCCAGTACCATATCCCATACGATCAAAAACAAAGTTCAAGTTACTTCAAGCTAGACTTTGTCTTGTTTTCTTTTAAAATACTCCCAAGATCCCAAACATGTGGGTAAAGATAAAAGACTGTTTTTTCTTTTTAATTTCTTTAAGAGACATATGACTGTTTAAAGCAATAACTTTAATGGTATCAGGGGATTATAAAGTTTGTAGATGTAATATATATAACCACATTAACACATAGTGTTGCAAGCTTTCTCATACTTTATATGAATTGATACAATGTGAACTGTAGGCTGTGATAATTACAGGATCTCTCTAGAGCAAACACTAAAGACAAATGCAACGAATAACAGCTAAAACGGCAAGAGAGAAAGTGGGGTACTAAAAACTACATTTGATCAACCACAAGAAGGCAGGAAACAAGAAACAAGGCAACAAAAAACAAATGGGACAAACAGAAAACAAATGGCAAGATGGTAGAACTAAATCCAACTATATCAATAGTTACATTAAATGTTTATGAACTAAACACTCCAATTAAAAGACAGAGATTTTCACACTACATTTAAAAAAAATAGCAAGACCCAACTATATTTCTATCTGCAAGTCTTTAAATATAAATATTCAATTTGGTTGAAAGTAGAGGACCGAAAAAATATACAGTGCAAACAATAAATAATAAGAAATTTGGAGTAGCTAAATTAATATCATACAAACTAGATTCAAGAAGTATTTTACAGAAATAAAGAAGGACATTTTATAATGACAAAAAAAGATCAGTTCGAGCCAGCCCTGAAGGTCTAGTGGTTAAAGTTGAGCACTCCTGCTTCAGTAGCCCGGGTTCATGTCCCAGATGCAGAAACACAGCACCCATCTGTCAGTTTCCACATTGTGGCAGTGGCTCACATAGCGCTGGAAGGACTTAAACGAGGATATACAACCATGCACTGGGGCTTTGGAGAGGAAAACAAAGAGGAAGATTGGGAACAGATGTTAGCTCAGGGAGACTCTTTCCCTCCAAAAAAAAAAAAAAAGCCATCTTTGAGTCACTCAAAAACAAAAAACAATCAATTCATCGAGAAGACATGACAATCATAATTATGCATTCATTTAAAATCAGATCCGAAATACATGGAGCCAATCTACTGTCTCTTTTCTATTTCACTGATACCTACTCTTTATTATTTCCCTCCATATACTTCTTTTGGTCTGATTTGCTTGCCTCTTTCTAGCATTCTCAAGTGGAACCTTGTCATTGGTTTTCAACTTCCTTTTCTAATATAAGCATCTAAAGCTATAAATTTCCTTCTACGCACTGCTTTAGCTACAGTCTAAAAATTTTGATATGTTGTATTTTTCTTACCAATCAATTCAAAATATTGTCTTCTTTGACATTTTATTTAGAAGTTATTTAAAAGTGCATTTGTTAAAAGATTTTTAGTGTTATTCTAGATTTTATTTTTCAAACTCCACTGTTATCAGAGAACATATAAGATTTCGATCACTTGAAATGTATTGAGACTTATTTTATTCCTCAGAATATAGTATATCTTGGAAAATGTGTACTCTTAACAAAATGTGCATTCTATAGCTAAGTGGAGTTCAATTACTGTCAATTGTAGTCACAGTGCTTGATAGTATTATTGAGCTCATCCATATGCTTATTATTTTCCAAACTTTATGGACTATAAAAAAATATTAATTTCAAGAACTTTTAACTTTTATTATGGAAATATTTAAATATACACAAAATCAGGAAGAACAGTATAATGAAATCCCAAGTACTCACTATGCTGCTTCAAAATTAGTAACATTTAACTTGCAACAGTTATAAAAACTTTTAATAAGAAAGAAGAAATGCTAAAAAAGAGGAAAACAAGCATGAACACATTTTTCCCTTCTTAAGAAAAGCAGTATGAAAAAAATACTTAAGGCTATGGTGGCTGTTGCCTGGTACTGACTATTTCATGTATACTGGCCTCCGTCTGTTGGAATGAGTGTGAAATGTACTGATAGAACTGCAGATGACTAAGGAACTTTATAATATCTAGAAAAGAACAGTTTAAAAACTGGCAATTCAGTAATCTAAACCCTAATGAACTATACTTCAAGGTTTTCCATCAAAGAGATTTCTTATTCACCTTCAAAAAATCTAGCCCAACTTATCCGTCTTGTTAGCTACCTTAAAATACTGACCAAACTAATCCCAGACCCTGGTGACAATGGCTATCAAAGCAGATCTGAAGTGACCTTAGAAATGTCTTAGTAAATGATAGTTGACAAGTCACAGAAATCATGGGTAGGAAAATATAGGATAATCATATAAGAGACAAGATTCAGAATCTCCTTTTCAGAGGCTAAAAGTTCATCACTAAAATCTCATAATTAAACTTTGGTGCTAGTTCATCTACACAGGAAACTACAAGGCAGGTACCAATATGGTCTCACCCTCAGGCAGTATGGGTTCATGTGCCATATCATAACTTATTTGTAATTTTTCATAGCACCTTTCATTTTCAGAGTCAAGAAAAGCCATCATCTAAAAGCATAAAAAGGCATTATCTTTTAGAGATTTGAAAGGTTAAATAACATGATGTCTTGGATTTGCTTCAAATCTACTGTAGGAGAAGGTTAATATATGAAAAAAGATTGGCCACAAGTTAATAAATGTTGAGGTGGGTTATGAATACATGGAGATTATACTGTTTTCTTTATTTTTGTGTATATTTGAAATTTTTCACAATGAAAGTTTCAAAAAGTCATAATGCTCCCTTTTTGTAATACTTGGCTAGGCTTTTTCTCTTTAATCGTCACTGCCATTGCTGATGCCAATTCAAGATGATATAATCATGAAGAATACCGCCATTGTCTTACCCAGTTCTACATGATCTTTCTTTAGTTCTCTGCAGTTTCCAATATGCTTCTTTGGCACCACAAGATAATGATGAAGTGCTGCTGGTTTGATATCTTTGAAGCAAACTAGGTCTTCACTCTAACGGAAAAAACATATCATTTGTTAGTCAGTGAATTTTTTAAAAGAATTTCCTAATGCTGTTCTGGCATGTCTTAAACATCTTAAATCTCAGTCTGATAGGGAAATGGTACTTATGTTACAACTAAGCCCCATTGAGCAATTTTGTGATTATGCATTAGGTCCATAAAGACAAGCTTTAGCTGCCTTCATGAGATGCTCATTTATTCCAGAGAATAAAAAGACTTATATAAAGTCAATTTCAGGAAAACAATTATGAATATGGTTCATTACAACTTCATTACCAACAATCCCAGAGTTTTTTGTATTTTATTACGTATTTCTCCATCTCTACCCTAAGGTTTTTTCACTCAATACGTACTTTCAAAGGTTTGACTATAGAATCATAGCAAGATTGATAAGTTGTTTTTTACACTTAATTTTTTTCCAAAGTGGCATGTTCCTCAATTATAACAAGAACATTATCTAGCATCTACATATCCAACAGTTACATTTTTAAACATTTTTTACAGCAATTATATACAAATACTTTATGTTTACTTGCCACTTTACAGCATTAAAAAGACTTTGAAATGCTGAAACAAATTCCTGTATGTTGTACAAAGCTATGTGCTCAATCCATTTCAAGTGTGGCATCCATTTTCTGGTTTACATACTCCACACAGTAATGTAAGGAAAACAGAAAAGGAAACAAAAAAGGGAATCTTTCAACCTATTAACATTTGAGTTTCAAGCTTTTCCAAGAGAAAAATCTGCATTCCCTAAATAACCTCATTCAATATCTTATATAAAAAAATTAGTCAAAGTTATATAAAATCAGTACCAATAAGTATAGTTTCCCTCAGAAAAATCCCCAGAACATACTGTTGCTCATTAGTTCTCAATTCTAGGAACCAAAATTCAATCTGAACAAGGGCTTCATATCCATGCCAGTAATCTTGGGTTCAGTGAGAATAATGGTGTTGGCCATTGCACATCTGCACCATGAACCTCCGTATCAGTATCTGTACAGCTCATGTAAGCTTCAGGTGACTGACAAGTCGAGCTCCAGTAGACCATGCTTCAGAGACTGGGACTTTTTGTTTACTTTAGCCCCCAGCAGGCCATGATTGAAATGGAAGCAGCAAAAACAAGGTATTACATGTCCCTTTCCTACCTTAAGACTTCTGTATAATGCCCACAATATCACTTTATTAAAATACTGTTTAAATATTGACTTTGTTGCTGTCATCACTTATAAACCTTCAGCCTAGAAGCTGCTAAAATGTGGAGGTGCAACTACACAAAAATCTTGATTATTTTTCCAGCTATTAAGTGTAACCTGCCTATATGATGAGTATAGGGAGGGGGAAAAAACTGGTACTTTAAAGATCTTGTGGTAAACACAGTGAGGGTAAACTGGATGCAGCAGGAGCTGGGAGGAAAGTACACAAATAAGAACTGAGTTGAGGTACCTGCTGACAGAAACAGGGATTTGATGCTGTGTTTGAATAGGACAATCCTTCATCACCCCCAAACTTTCAGGAAAAATCTATACCAACTGTTGCTTTGCATTAAGGTATCACGAAAATGAAAGGAAAAGAACCTGTGTTACTTTCTTTGGTTAATGCAAGACAAAGGTTTGAGGCCAAGGTACAATATTCAACAGAAACAGAAAATACAAGCGGTGTCTAGGGATAATGAATACAGCACACTCCTCCCAGCCTCAGGATAAACTCCTCTCATAAACTTGGGAGAGTGGTGGGTTTCCTGTGATACATGGACAGAGGTTCAATTCAGTTTCGTGTGTGTGTATACACATACATACATACATGTATGTGAATACGTATACATGCATACATATATATGTGTGTATGTGCACATGTGTGTATATATAAATATATATTTTTAAAATATATATATAGATGTAAAAAGAGAAATCCCAGAAGGTTGATGACTTGGGGAACCCCAAAGGCTAACCCTAAAATAACAAGACAATTATATCAATTTTAATCCATTTTATTATCGTTTTTCTGTCTAGTATTAACTTTAAATACTGACATCTATAGAATGTTTTAGAAAAGGATAAGATCAAGGACCACAATGTTTTTAATTGTTTAAGGTTTTCCAATATTTCTTTAATGCCTCCTTCTGAGAAACAATCAGTATTGGGGAGTCAAATCTAGCAGAACAGAACTGCCACAACTGTACTTCCCAGATTGGTTCAGAATACAACTTTATATGCTTTTATTTCCCCTCAATTATGACATTAACTTTTAAAAATCCAGCAGTGATTCTTTTTGGTATAGAATACATCCTGATTAGAAGTCATCTGAATACAGGCACACCTTAACAAACAGGAAAAATCCCAAATAAGCAATTTCAAATTACACCTAACTGAATTAGAAAAAGAAGAACAAACAAAGCCCAAAGTCAGCAGAAGGAGAGAAGTAATAAAAATCAGAGCAGAAATAAATGCTATTGAAACAAAAAAGGCAGTAGAAAGGACCAATGAAACAAAGAGCTGGTTCTTTGAGAAGATAAATAAAATTGACAAACCCCTAGCCAGACTTACAAAGAAAAAAAGAGAGAAAGCTCAAATAAACAAAACCAGAAATGAAAGGGGAGCAATAACAACAGAGTCCACAGGAATACAATGGATTATAACAGAATACTATGAAAAACTATATGCCAACAAAATGGATAAACTAGAGGACATGGGTAAATTCTTAGACTCTTACAACCTCCCAAAACTAAGTCAAGAAGAAACAGACAATCTGAACAGACCAATCACAAGGAAAGAGGTTGAAACAGCAATCAAAAGCATCCCAAAGAATAAAACCCCGGGACCAGACAGCTTTCCTGGGGAATTCTACCAAACTTTCAGAGAAGATTTAATACCTATCCTTTTCAAGCTATTCCAAAACATTAGGGAGGATGGAACACTTCCTAACACATTCTACAAGGCCAACATCACTCTGATACCAAAGCCTGACAAGGACAGCACAAAAAACGAGAACTACAAGCCAATATAGCTGATGAACATAGATGCAAACATGCTCAACAAAATTTTGGCAACCCAAATTCAGCAATTCATCAAAAGGATCATACATCACAATCAAGTGGGATTCATACCAGGAACAAAGGGTTGGTTCAACATCCACAAATCAATCAACATGATACACCACATCAACAAATTGAAGAATAAAAACCACATAATCATCTCAATAGATGCGGAGAAAGCATTTGACAAGATCCAACGGCCATTTATGATAAAAACTCTGAACAAAATGGGGATAGAAGGAAATTACCTCAACATAATAAAGGTCATATATGACAAACTCACAGCCAACATCATACTCCATGGGCAAAAACGGAGCGCCATCCCCTGAGAACAGGAACAAGACAAGGATGCCCACTCTTATTCAACATAGTACTGGAGGCTATTCTTTGCAGCATGATTTATGATAAAAGACTGAAATTAACCCAAGTGTCCATAATTCAGCTAGGAGACTGGTTCTGTATTACATGGACTATTGTATATATTCATCCTCTGCCCCCTATTTAGGGGATAAATTAGTTAATGAAAGTATTGATCATGCCTAATTTCCTCTATAAAAATGGCCCTATGCTGGCGCCCCATGGCCTAGTGGTTAAGTTTGGTGTGCTCCGCTTCAGTGGCCAGGGTTCAGATCCCAGGCACAGACCTACCCCACTTGTCATCAGCCATGCTGTAGCAGCAACCCACACACAAAACAGAGGAAGACTGGCACAGATGTTATTTCATGGCAAATCTTCCTCAAGCAAAAAGAGGAAGGCTGGCCACAGATGTTAGCTCAGGGTGAATCTTCCTCAGCAAAAAAAAAAAAAAAAAAAAAAAAAATGGCCCTGTGCTCTTCACACAGTTTACTCTGAGATATTCCTAACAAAGAAAAACTCCTGACCTTTGGCCAGGAAGAAAGCTGTGATTGAAAGTTGGACCACCCCAACCCCTCTTGATGACTATTTTTAGACAAACAAAGCTTTCCATAACCACTAGCATCTATTTCTATTAGTTTTCTTCAACATCAGTACTGGAGCGTGCAAAATTTTAAAGCAGTTTCCAGGAATCTAAGAAATATTGAACTCTGAAGTTAAACAGCTCACTTGCCCTCTCACTAACCGAATTTTATGTTTAGTAAAATAAGGAGTGAATGAAGAGGCAGAGATCGGTCCCTTCTGACTCTGGATCAGCTCAGCAGAGGCCCGCTTTACAGATAACTGACCGAAAATCTTTCTCCGAATCAGCCGCTTCCTGCCTCCACGTCCTTCTCCTCTTCAGCATGGCTTTTACAGTCTATCACATCAGTCATTCTCTAGCCATATATTCTTATCTTTGCCCCACTGCTGGAGGGGTGAAAAAAACCCACGCAGTTGTGCAGACGTTAATCTGAACGTCCTCAACCTCAACTGACCGTCATCACTACCCAGCAACCCTTCTGTTTTCCCTGATCCTCTCTCCCGGCCTCCAAGGAGCTACTTCAAATTTTTACTTCTAAGTGACCCTGTAACTTGCTCCCTTACCTCCGTCAAACCTTCCCTCACACGCCACCTTCCTAGTGAAGCTTTTCCTGACTAAAATTTAAAAATTGCATCTCTTTCATTTTTTCACTGTCTGATAAACTGTGTATTTTACTTATATTGCTTATTGTCCATTTCCGTAAGCTCCACGCGGGCAGGGATTTGCACATTTTGTCACTGCTGTATCCCAGTGCCTCCGACAGTGCCTGGCGTATAGACGGCACTCTTTCAAATACTGAGAACGAACGAGTAAGTGAGTTTCCTCTTTCTGAGGTACAAAGCTCTACCGCATGAGCCATTTTAAATCTCTCTCCATTGACAACTTCCCATCAGGACTCAAACACACCAAAGTCTTCACCGTTTTAAAACCTTTCTCTTAACCCCCAACTCCTCTGTAGTTACTACTCCCTTTCCTTCCTCCCCAAGACTGCCAAACTTCCTTCACAAGCTGTCTATATTTGCTGTCTTCAATTTTTGTTCTCCCAGGTCCTTCTCAGTCAACTACAATCTGCCTTCCGACTCAGCACTGCACCGCAATTGTTCTCCTCGAAGTCGATGACTATCACTTAAGGGACAAAACCAGTTCTGGTCTAACTTGGCCTCTTGCAAGCATGCAGGAGGATCACCAGCCCAGACTGAAGATCAGGGAAGGCTGACACCGCTGCCACTTCCTTTCTTCTTCACATATCCCTTTTCTCAGCATTCCTAGTTTTCCTTCTATTTCTCTGCTCCTTCTCTGTCTCTTTTCCAGGTCCTCTTCCTCTGCCTGTCCCTTATGATGCTAGTGTTCTTTAGGGTTCTGTGTAGGCCCCGCCTTCACTGCTTACTTTACATGTGCTTCCTAGGAGATCTCATCAACTCCCCTCTCCTCAATTTCCATCCATAAACTGGCAGTTCCCATCATGTGGGCTAGAGATATAGTTCTCTCCAGAGGACAGACTACCCAACATTTTACTGGACATCTCTGCTTAGATGCCCAATACTCTCCTGCCCTCTGCCACCTCCTGGCCACCTTCTCCTCCTCTGTTCCCAATTATAAGGAAATCGTACCACCACTATGGGTTTACCCTAGCAGAAATCTACAAATCATCCTTGACCTTCCTCATTCTCCTACATCTAAACCAGAGTTTCTCAACCCAGGGACTACTGACATTTGGGGGCCAGATAATTCTTCATGGTGGGGGCTCTCCTGTGCATTGTATAATGTTAGCAACCTTGACCTCTACCCATTAGGTGCCAGTAGCCCTCCCCACCCTTTCAGTTGTTACAACCAAAAGTCTCCATTTGAAAACCACTGATCCATCTCCATCAATAAGTCCAGCCTGTTTCACCTCCGAAATACCCTTAAATTGATCCGCTTTTCTTCATCTCCACTACCACATTCCTACTTAAGGCCATTATCAGCTGGATGACCGCAATCGCTTCCTAACAAGTCCCCACGCCTCCAGACTGGTCCTCTCCAAATCATTCTCCTCAGTGGGGCCCAAAGAATCTTCCAAAGATCAAACCCCCTGGTGTAACACCTCAACCCCTTCCTCCCAACCCTGCGTTAAACATTTCCTCTTCTCCAAAGAGAACACTGGCAAACAGAAGATAAAACATTCGGAAGAAGGAAGCTTCCCTTCATTCTCCAGATAAAGACAAAACTCCTTACCATGAACTACAGCACCCTTAATAATCTGGCCCCTTGTTCCCCTCTCCAGCCTCATCTTTCACACCTCCCATCCTCTCAAGCTCAACGCTCCACTTAGACTGAATTTCTGTTAGCTCTCCTTATGGCTCAAACCAAACCTCTGAGGTTCTCTCTACCTGGGACATTAATCTCCCACCTGGTCAACTACTACCTATTTCTTCATGTCTCACTTCCTCGGAAAAGCCTTCCCTAACCCTTCAAATCTGAGTTAGGTGCTCCTCCCACGGGCTTGCAAAATACCATAGGTGGTAAAACCATTTCACCACAGCACAGGGCATTGTAATCAGCTGCCTCCTCCATCTGTATTCATTCCACCCTTTAGATTATAAAATCTGGACAGGGACTATCCTTTATCTTGTTCACCACTGAATCTGCAAGTCTAGGTGCTTACAAGGAATTCAACTTACTTTTACAAAATGAATAAATGATTACTACAAAAAGCCAGAATCTTTGGAGCTGATTCTCTCAAAAGGTTGTTTCTTTAAATGTAAGTAGAACCGGCAGAAGAAAGTGTGTACCAGATCTCTGTTTTAAAATATCTAGGCAAAGTCTTAGTGCCCTCAAGATGTGCACACATCCCAACTGATAACACCTCTGGGACCTGTACCCTGCAGTGGAAATCAGAGGCTATTAAGTAATAGTTCGACCTCGGATTTCCCCCACCCCACGCCACCCTGCCTTTCAGTCAATCTAACAAACAAGCTTTTCACAATTACCATTACCTATCTCCTGCTAGTTTTCTCCATATCAATATTACAGTGTGCAGAATTTAAAAGCAGAGTCTAGAAAGGCGGGGGATGGGGTCCGTTTAATAAAAGCAGAAGCCATAAATGCTCTTTTCTGCCAAATACTTCTGTACCCGCAGAGACAGACCGAAGTATCTGACTTCATCAGTACGTTTTCTCCCAATGGAACAGCAAAGAACGCGGGAGACATTACCGACCCAGGAAAAGCAAGTCTGTCATTAACAACAGGACACCCGGCCCCATCCACACAGGATCCTCCCACCCCGGTCCACACCCGCGAGGCCTCCCTCACGAGCTCCCGGGTCTGACACGACCCCCACAGGGTCCACACCCGCGAACGTCCCTCCCGATCTCCCGGGACTGAGAAGACCCCCCACCTGGGTCCACACCCGCAAGCGTCCCTCCCAAGCTCCCGAGGCTGACACGACCCCCACGCTCGCCGGCCGCGCGCCACCGCCCACCTCGCAGTCCAGGAGCTCGGTGCCCGGCATCTGCTGCCGCGCGATCTGGCAGAACACGCACTTGCCGCCGTCTTCCTCGGGCTCCGGCGACGCTGCGACGACCTGCGCGGTCTCCGACAAAGACCTGGGAAGCGCTGCCGCCGCCGCCGCCGCCTCTCTGCCGGGGTCCGACTCGGCGCTGCTGCTCTCCTGCGGTTCAGCCATCGCACCTGCCCCTGGCGGCCGAGGGCCTCGGCGCCTCTGGGACAAGGGGGCCTGCGCCGGCCTCCTGCACCTCCTCGGCTGTACCTGGAGGCGTCGCCCGCCGCCCGGCGCTGGCCCTGGTGGGAGTTGGGCGCACGCGCAGATCCAAACTGACGCTGGAGGGAAGGCAACGCGAGGTTGGGCCCCAAAGCCAGCGGCAGCCTCGAAGCTAGTGGCCACGAGGGGGCGCACGAGGACGCTACCCGGGAGAGGCGGGGGGCGGGGAGGGGAAGCCGGCTGCAGCTGCAGGAGAGCTCGGCCCCCTGCGTCTCGTTGGTGATGACGCAAGACGTCCGCCGAGACGCGGGTACGCGCCCCGCGTCGCGGTGACGTCACCGGCGCGCCCGAAGGCCAGTCCAAATGGAGTCTGGTGATGTGGGTGTCGTCTCCCCAAGGCTTGTGATGTTAGTATGCGGTAGGAGTGTATTACCCTGTCGTTAAGAAAAAAAATTTTAATTCATACGTTTTAAGAGAATGAACAAAATTTCCAGAGCTTCCTTTTCAACAAAGATCATGTTTGATGCTCTGTGATTGCATTTTCAGTCACGATAATTTTAGATGCTTAAGCTCAAAATGTCCAAAACTGGGCTTCACGTGACTGTTTACTCTTCTTGTTAACAGTATCAGCTAGGTCAGAATAGCGGCCTTTATCTCACGTTCCTCACACGCAGGTCAATGTGGAGTCCCGGCGTTTATAGTCTGAAATAGTCCAGAAATTCCCTGCCGGTGCCTCATTATGCTTCACCTCGACCACTGCAATAACCTTCGAACTATAGCTTCCCTGCTTGATTCTGCTGTCACTCAAAAACCCTTCAGTAACCATGGCGCCCCAAGAAAGAGTACCGCTTCCTTAGCTTGGTATTCCGGGTGGACTCTGATTTGACCTCCACTTTTCATTTCGTAATACTTGGCATTTGCTGGACACTTAAAATGTGCCAGGTGTTTCTCTAATCGTCAAAATAAACAAGGTTGGTTTTATAATCCCCACCAGAGTTGAAGAAACAAACTCAGAAAGACTTGCCCAATACCACACAACTAATTAGTGGCCGAGTTCAGATAAAGGTTTGTCTAACTCCAGAGACTTCCAGCCTTTTTGAACGCAACCCCTTTTTCACACTGAAAAATTTCTTAGACTGACTTATTATAGTAGTTGTACCGTTGGTGTTTGTTGATTTAGAAAACAGATAATAACAAAGTCCTATTTATGAACTCAGTAATATTTTTAAATGAATTTATGTTGTTTTAATTAAAAGGATTTACATATTTTTTAAGTAGTTGTGTATATGTGTTCAAGACATTTTGGGGGACCCCTATAATAGCTTCATAGCCCCTGGAGAGCCCAAGGCCGGGTTCAGAACCACTACATTTCTTTGCCCAACTTGAGTATCCACTATTTCTATGCATACAGTACACCTGCACGTCACTCTGCTTTTATCCACGCTGTTTCCCCTGTTTGAAATTTCCCTGTTTCCATCTCTGCACATCCAAATTTCACCTTCCAAGCCACTCCTCAAATGCTACCTTCTTCATGAACTTAATCTTTAATTAACCAAACTGAAATAAGCACTTCCTTTTGTGAATTCACAGCAGTTTTTCAATACTTCTCTTGTAGAAATTATCACCTTTGTATTACATGCTATTTATGTACCTATTTTTTCTACTAGAAATTATGTTCCTTGATTTAAAAAAAAAGGGTGTCTTTGAATCTCTCATAGTGCCTAGTACAGTGCTTTTCATGTAGGTAGACACTTAATTGATGAACGAAAGAGTGATTAGAAATAAGGTTGCTGCATAGGAGTGTTCAGGTTGCACACTGTACAAGAACACCACAAATAAGAATTTGCTAATTCACATCATAGACAAATATTAACTTATGTAAAGCACAGGCAGGCCTGGAGATTCCAGGGCTCCAGAGCAAGTTCTGATGCAGTGGAGAGCTGACTCCTGCAAAAACCCACATTGGGTGCATATGGCCACACACATACACTGAGGAAACCATTCACCTACATACTGGTACACACACCTGTCCTGACCACATTCCTAGTGACACCTGCAGTTGCTTCTCTCACTTACCTGTCACTTTCAAAGACTTGCTTCCCATTCCTCAGCGCTGAACTTGATATAGTTGCCTGCCATGGAAGTGTGAGGATGAAAGTGTGAGGAGCAACACAAAGTATTTGAAAATTAGATGGAGTTTGTGTCCTGGTGTGGGAACAGACAAAAGTACAGGCAGTTGTGTGAGCACAGACAGAGCTGCTACCATGTGGTGCTCTGGCTGACTCCCCTGGGAAATAGCCATTTGGGTTGTGTGACAATAAACTAACTTTAAATTTTACTTGCAAAACGCAGTGCTGTTTTCTAATTTCGCAAGGACACCATATGAGCTAGCAGCAGCGCTGCTTCAGAGCAGGCTCTGGAGTCAGACAACTAACTCTACAGCTTCCCATCTGTGAAGAGTTGGGCTAGGTTATGTATCTTTCTGTGCTGAGGCTTTCTGTTTCTTCATCTCTAAAATGAGGATAGCAGTCATGCTTAATAAAAACGTTAGTATGAGAACTAAAGCCTGGCAGCCTGGCACAGACTTCTCAATAAATGTTAACAATTATTACCAATAGGTAATGATGCTGTGTGAAATTGTTTAAGTGACCAGATAGCTCACTTTCCTTTAAATACAGAAGGTTTAGTGCTCCTATCCAGGACAGAGACTGAGCTATGCTTTTGTAGTGTCATTTATCCTGTATGATGCTATCTAGGATAAACTTGAAGCAATTAATGATCTAGTTATTACTTTAGAAAATAATGTTTTCAATTTTAGAGGTCATTTCTTGATGGCTAAAGAGTTCACTACATTGTAACTGACTATGAACAACTTATAAACTTGGTTAATGGGGAATTTACCCATCATTCTCATTTCTTTGGCTACTTTCTTTGGTTAAAGTCATGACTAGAAAAAACCATGAATGTGTTTCATGTAGAACAATGCATCTGGATATCATCTTATTTGAAAATAACTTAGAATATGGATGTGAGTCACATTACTGTTACCAGCAGCAAACGTTTGTTGAGAGCCAACTTTGAACATCATACTATAACTAAAACAAGCCTTCATTTGTCTTTGCTTTCCCCATCACTTACTGATCCATTTCTCTGCTCTCCTTTGCAGCCAAACTCCCCAAAAATGTTGTCTATACTCTTCCCAATCTCTCTCTTCTCTCCTCTCACACTGTCTCCTATTAGGCTTTCACAGCCACCATTCCATCCTAACTCTTCTGTCAAGGTGACCAATAACCTCCCTGTCCCCAGATCTCATGATCACTTCTCAGTGCTCATCTTTTCAGCAACAGTTGATCATTTTCTCCCCCTTGATAAACTTTTCTTCTCTTGATTCCCAGGACACCACAGTTTCTTGGCTTTCCTCCAACCTGACTGGTTGTTCCTCCTCAGTCTCCTTGGCCGCTTCGTCATCTTCTTCCAAACCTCTCTCATCACTAATGGGTTTTGGTCCTAGGTCTTTGTCTCCTTTCTCTCCCCTCCCCCTCCCTGTCTCTCTCTGACATACACAAAGCAGTGTATATTTGAGATAGCCAACTTGATGAGACTCTTCTCTTTAGCTTCACTCACTCTTTTGGTGATCTCATGCAGTCCATGGCTTTAAACACCACATATGTGCCAATGACTCCCAAATTTAAATCTCTAGTATAGACCTCTTCCCTGAACTCCAGACTTGAATATCCAACTGCCTATTCAGCCACCCTGTACCCATGTCTAACGGATGTTACAAAACTGTCTGAAACTGAACTCCTATGGGGAGAGCTCCTCTTCCCCTCCCCAAACCTGCTACCATCTTAGTTGAGGGGAAGTCCATTCTGCCATCTACTCAGGACAAATTCTGAAATCATATTTGATGCTTCTCTTTAACTCTTCATATCCAACCCATCAGGAAATTCTTTAAAGTACATCCAGAATCTGATGTTATCACTACTATCAACCTTGACTGAGCCACTATCACCTCTCATGTGAATTATCCAATAATCTAACTGGTCTCCCTACTTCCAACCTTCCTCCCACCCCTATCCCTGCCTAGTCTCAATACAGCAGCCAAAGTGATCCTTTTAAAATGTAAGTCAAATCATGTCACTCCTCTGCTCAACATCCTCCCATGGTTCAATATCCCACTGAGAATAAAAGCTAAAGCACTTCCCTCTGAGGACCCATAAATCTCTACCTTATACACCACCTGCCCACCTCTGTACATTCTGACATTAGCTACAACAAATACTCCCATTGCTTACTCTGCTCCTGCCACACTGGACTCGTTACTTGTGCCCACCAAGCATGTTCCCACATTTGGACCTCTGCACTGGCTGTCCCTCTGCCTGGAACACTCTTTCTACTACCAGTCATGCAGATTGCTCTTCTCCGCTCCTTCTAGTCTATGCTCCGTGTTTCTTTCCCAGCGAAGTCAACTCTGACCACCCTGACAACCTACCCCCTCATGAGCACCCTCAGCACTCCCTTCTCCTTTACCTGGGTCTAGTATTTCTGTTGTACCCATTACCTTCTAGATATTTAAATTTAAATGTTTACTATTATATAGTAATATTATTATATATAAGTATTTAAATACTACATGTTTAACTTACTATGATTATTTATTATTGTCATTTTCATCCTCACTGAATGTAATCTCAACAGGAATTTTTATCATTTTTCTCTGGTTTTAGTTCATCGAAGTGTCCCCTGTGTCTCTACATGGAGTGTGAAGTACTGAATGTCATCGAGGACAACTCCAAGATTCTTAGTCTGAAAACTGGAAGACTGAAGCTGATGTTTATTAAGATGGAAAATCTGGGAAGAGCAGGTTTGGGGGCAGGGAAGACCAGACATTGGGTTCTGGGAACATTAATTTGTGATGTTATATCAGTCTGTTTAGACTAAGTTTGTTGCAGTAAACAACTCCAAAAATCTTTTTTTTTTTTTAAGATTTTATTTTTTCCTTTTTCTCCCCAAAGCCCCCCGGTACATAGTTGTGTATTCTTCGTTGTGGGTTCTTCTAGTTGTGGCATGTGGGACGCTGCCTCAGCGTGGTTTGATGAGCAGTGCCATGTCCGCGCCCAGGATTCGAACCAACGAAACACTGGGCCGCCTGCAGCGGAGCGCGCGAACTTAACCACTCAGCCACGGCGCCAGCCCCCAACTCCAAAAATCTTAATGCCTTAAATCAAAAGGTTTATTTCTTGCTCACATCTGTGTCTCTTGCAGGTTGGCTGTGGCTGTGTGGACTTCATCCCAGGACCCAGGCTGAGGGAGCAGGGATATTTCTGGTGTTAGAACAGAGGGAAGAAAGAGCACAGTGAAGCCACATGATGGCCCTTAAGGCTTCTTCTCAGAATTGGCACATGT